ACTGTTATAGCCATAAAGTAACACACGGGCTTCCTTCATATAGAGAGGTAAGTAGTCCCTGAGCCATATGTCGTTACCGATTGCGCCGCCACGAGTCTTTGAGCGAAAGGTTTTCTCAGCCTCTGTACCCAATCCAGGAACGGCAACGATACTGCAGTCTACAATCAGTCAAGCCATACACGAAAAAGCGATGTATGAACATACTCTACAATGGCTTCGTCTGGTCCTGGATCGAATAGTGGAGTTACACCTACGAAGTCCTCTTTGATCTCAAGATGGCTGCCCGCTCTCGGGGGTTTGAGGACCTCGTGCGCAAGGAAAGTCGCACAGTTCAGAATGCGGTCGTATTGGACATGGCTCCGAATCTCAATGCTTCTGGGCTCAGAGGCCAAGCTTTGTAGTTCGCTCTCGAGCTCCTGTCGCGACATGGACAGAGGGCAGAACACCCGTTTCATTGGTGTAGCAAGTGGTGGCGGGGCCGCTGGCACTAATATGGGCAAGTCTTGATCAGGTGGGACTGCAGTGGCTGGATGTCTTAAGGGCAGAGACTTCTCTGTTTGTATCTCAGTTTGAGCAGAGAACCATTGTCTGCAGTAACATAGCCTCTCGAACTCCTTTCGAATTGTCGGTCAGTTTAACGATTTCCGTCCGACCTTGCGTTGTAGAACATACCAGTTGTTCGTGGTCATTGAGCTCGGTTGAAGTGCTAATCTCAAAGTCCTCACCAGTCTGGAAACCGAGCTGTTAAATACGTTGTGTCCATCAAGTGAGGTAGTCTCACCTTCTCGACTGTTAGCGAATCATCTTTTGCATAACGTCTCGCATCCGTTTCGATCACGCTCTTGTTCAATCCTGGCTTTCCCCGGATGATGTACTTATGAGCGGACATCAGCAGGATTGATAGTGTATCGACATGATTCCAGATACACTGCCACAACTACCTATATCACATCTCACTGTGTTGACCGTCAGGTGACCTTGAGGCAGCTTCCGCTTCACCTATTGGTTGTAGATTGGACGGCTCATGCATGATGCCCGATCCACCTGTTCGCAAATTGCCGCCATGCCGCTAAACACATTGATCATGATGGCTCAGCAATATGTTGACACTTGGGCTGCTGTCTGAACCCAAGTTTCCGATGGAGCTTCTTTTGGGAAAGAGCTTGACAAAATCACGTCGCGGTGGTCAGAGCTTTCGTTCCTGCCACAACCTCGGCATCTGGGAAGCTGCATACCACCTGCAGTCTTGTTAGCTAGGTACACTGCCAAGTTTTCGCACATGCACAGCATTGAGGCAGACAAGCTGCGCCTTCTTCTTCAGCCTGGCATGCAAGCTGACCATCTGAACACGATAGAAAATGCTTCAGGCAGCCCCACCCCTCCTCATGGAGCTTACCTACGCAATTTCAGAATATGTTATACCATAAACGAGTCATCAAAATTGAACAAAGTCCGGTGGCAGTGGACTCAGTAAGTCTCAACGATGTTCTCACATCTCTTCTCGAAGCAGACAAAAGAAACGCTTCTATCAGTCGCAGCCGGAAGCTTGGTGAGCGACTAGCTCCTCTGCTAGATTTCCTCAATCGGTATGCCGCCTCTATCGACTCCATAGTCCAGGGCGTTGGAGGGAATGGAATGAACCCAGCCTGTGTTGCTTGGGGCATCTTGAAAGCCGTGATCGAAGTACTGATCTCCTTATCATCAAAAGATATTCAAATTGTTTACTGACAGGCTCCAGGCGGCATCTGCCATGACTCGATACTTTCCTAAGGTCGTCGGGCTACTCGAAAGACTTGGTGCCATACTGTCTTTGTATCACCAATACGAACAACTGATTCCAGATGAGCCACGCTTCAAGCTCGCCCTCGCCGCCGTCTATAAAGACGTCCTGGTCTTACTTCAGAAGGCAGATCTGGCTCTTAAGAGAAAAGGTATCACGGTTTTGTTCAGAAGTATATGGACTACTTTTGAGTCCGAATTCAATGGTGGCCTCCAAAAACTCACATTGCACACATCCGTGCTTGAGGGTGAAACAACTTTGGCTCATCGCAGATATGTCCACACCGCTTTGAAGCCCGTCGTAGCACATGTGGAGAAGTCTTCTTTGCCATTCTGGACCAATCGCAACGTCGAAATATCATGTCGTGGCTGGGTGCAACTGACGCAGCCAGTGATCTCGTTCAGCATTCACAAAGAAGAACAGTCGGTACTGGCCTGTGGCTAGCACAGGAAAGTGCCTTTATACAATGGCACACAAGCAAGAAGTCGTCCATCCTGTGGATGCACGGCATCCCTGGTGCTGGAAAGACTGTTCTGAGCACAACTGTCGTGACTTCTCTCAAGGAACTGTATTCGAACCCACAGAGCGCCATCACATACTTCTTCTTTGACAGGCTTGATCAAAACAAGCGAACAGAGGCGTCGTTGGTTGCCAGCATTATAGCGCAGATATGTGCGCAGTCGCATGATCTGCCAGCACCAGTGACACTTGCCTTCGAGAATGCTGCTCTGTATGGTCGCAATCGTCTATCGCCAGCTGATCTACCAACATCGCTTCTCAAAGCCGTCGTTGATACCCTCGGAAGCTTGTATCTTGTGGTCGACGGTGTTGACGAATGCGAAGATCCCACCAGCATTATAAGCACGTTGCATAGTTTGGTTGCAGCCAGCTCCAACGTCCATATGTTCATTTCGAGCAGAAGGATACCAAGCATACAGAAAACACTTACAGCGGACTCAGCTATAGCAATCGATGCGACCCGAACAGAGCAGGATATTCAGATATATCTCACCGCTGCAAAAGACCGTTTGCCAACGAACGATACTGCATGGTTGAATTCAATCATGAAAAGAGTGACCGAAAGATCAAATGGCATGTTCCTCTTTGCACGTCTGGTCATGGAGTCTCTGTCAAAGTCGTCATCGCCAGCAGAACTCATGACTCAGCTTGAAGAGCTACCCTCAGGGTTGACCGCATTCTACGACGACTATCTCAAGAAGCTTTCTCGTGAGTCGAATACAAGACAGCAACTGGCCAAAAACTTCTTTTGTGGGTATGTTTTGCCCAAAGACCAATGAGCTGGTCAGAACTACAAGCTGCTCTGGCCCATGACGGGGTCTCATCGGCACAAACATTGCCCTTCAAAGCCGTCGTTCTGGAACTTGGAAGCCCCTTCGTGGTGTACGACGAGTTATCAGATCGATTCAACCTCCAGCATCTATCTATGAGAGACTTCTTGGTATCTGAGACGGTCAAAGAAGGACTGAAACATGCGGACAAGTTTTTCTTTACTCAAGCCGAAGCCGACCACCATCTAGCATACGTCTGCTTGTCGCACATAAAAGCAGCCGGACGTTCTCACAATGGAGCACTAGCCAATTACGCTACTGTGTTCTGGTGTGACCATCTTCTGGCCTCCCCGCGGAGCATAGATCTTCTAGAACTATTGAAGACCTTCAATGAAGACGAAGCTATACGACGGTGGTGGATACAGAACATGCTTAGACATGGTCAAAACGAGTTCTCCTTGCAAAGAGTCTTCAAGCTGCAGTCCGACTTGAACGCCTGGATCCGAGTCAACGACTCAAGCTCACAATCACAGCAAGCACTTGACCAACTGGATTGGAGTAAGGATGTAGTGCATATCCTTTTGAACGCACAAGACAATAGTAACACGTCCATTCGACTGACATACTTCGAGAAGATAATGGTTGTCCGAGACCTAGCTCGGCTGCTTAATCAGAGCAAGCGACTCGAGGAAGGAATAACCTGGCTTACAGACGCGTATAAATCACTTTCGAACAAGAAAGCAATAGAGCTTGTTTGGATATCGAACAGTCTAGCCATCCTCTACGATCAACAAGGCGAGACCATGAGATCTCTCGAGACGCAAAATCAAGCTCTATCCATACAAATAGCCGAACTGGGGCCCTACCATTTAGAGACCATCAACACGGTCAACGAGCTGGGACGCATCTACCGGCACCTCGGCGACTATGACAATGCAGCAAATATGCATCTCAAAGCACTCGCCGTACTCGAGGCCCGACTTGCAGAACCAGAAGACGATCTTGAAGTCATATGGACAATTGCCACACTTGCACGAACATACAGAAAGCAAGGTCGCTTCTCGGAAGCCCTGACACTGTTCGAAAGAGCCCATAGAACGCGAACGAAAATCTTGGGCCCGAAGCATCCGCATACTCTATGGATTCTTGGCGACATGGGAGCTACATATCAAGACATGGACTTGTTAGAGAGTGCCGAGGATAATTATCGCAAAGCTTTGGAGGGACGACAAGATGCTCTTGGTTTGAATCATCCGGATACTCTGTGGTCGATGAACGATTATGGTGTTGTGCTCGAGCGCATCGGAAGGAGAGATGAAGCGTTGAGTCTACAACAACGGGCTTTGTCCGGACAAATGGACGTACTAGGTTACGAACACGAACATACGCTGTGGACGTTGGAAGCCGTGCGTCGCTTGGAAAGAACGAAGCAAGGCAACACTTCGGGTTGGTTATAACGACGGCTAGGTAAAACGCTCGATGCAGATGCAACATGTATTCATGACGACGGAGTTTTTGGAAGGTTTGAATCATCATGTCAATCATCAATTCATTCTTTCGAGAATCGATCCAAATACCCAAATCTTCTTTCATCAAAACATATACCCAAGATTTATTCTCACACACCACGAACCCTCGTATGCATCTTTCCCTTCACTCCCTTCTTATTAATCATGAAAATGGAACAGGAGAGATGAAAAGCATAGGTGGCCACTATTATCACTTGAACAAAGCAAATACTCCACGACGGCGAGGTCTCCTTCGAAAATGCGTCCTGTCTTCGGCCTTCGGAGCAGTACTGAAGCCTCTGAATTACGAACTATTTTCTTGCTACCTTTCAGACCATCACTAGATCATCATATGGTTGATTCGTGTGGTCGGCGACCTTCGGCGATCTCGAATTATTGGCTTTCGGTCGTGGTAGGGATCACTCAGGCAATCATCTCGGTCACAGCAATGTCGAGAGAATCTTGATAGGTGGCTGATATACAATGTCAGCCTTGTTGGTCGTTACTGATATGAGTTTGTAGATCACTCTTACCCTGTCCGTCTTCGGCGACGTAGTTGACGGTGAGATTGGGTGTCCCACTGCCATAGGCCGTGACAGAGCAATACAGAGGACACGGTCCAACACTATAGCCCAAAGTCAGCGCCGTCTCCCTTCTTCTTCGCTTGCAGAAATGATCTTACGCCGTATCTTTGTAAGTCCTCTGCATACGTAGAGTGGTGCCATCCCATCTGAAACTGAAACTGTTATTGTCGCAAGGATAAAAGTTATTCGCATCTTCTACAGAGCCCGGAACGGAGCGCGAGCAAGCGGTGCTTGCTTGTAGTCCAGCATTGTTGTCGACCAAGTCGAAAGAGATGGAATTGTTGGAGGAGCCAGTGGAAGCCGTAAAGACGGACAAGCCAAGGAGGTGCCAGGGTTCGCTCTCGGCCAGAGGCTTTTGACGAGGGAGAGCCATAGCACTACTCGACAGCGCTACAGCAGCGGTGAGAAGAGTCCGAAATGTGTACATTGTTGCTGTGTGGATAGACTGATCTCCGGGGGTGAATCGTAATGGAGTTGAAGTAGCAAGGTTGAAAGATGCTGAAAATGATGTGTTTTGGAAGTGTTCAAGAAGAAGTTTTGCTGCTCGTTCAGGAAAGAAGAAGGAGCTGGATACTTATATAGAGTTATTGGAACGGTTGTGGCTTCCTCTTATGCTACAGTAAACATGTGCCAACCTTCCAAGACGAGCAGGGCAAACATTGCATCGAGGAGGATTTGTGGGCCGACCGCCGAATGCATGCAGGTAACATGACCATATCGCTGATCACATAGGTGGTGCTGGGTCAACGTCCGCCTTGTTTCCTCTGCCTTTTGATCGATATCATATTCTCGTATTCAACTTTATCGCGAATCGGATGTTGGCGCATCGTCTACCCGAGCTAGATACGTCGATAATTAGTAGTAAGATCAATACTAATCTAACAAATACCTTACTATCCAGAGCCTCTAAAGCTCTTAAATTAGCTATATAGACAAGAATAAGATTTGTAGGTTATAAGATTAGACTTATAAAGTAGAGTATTAAGCATAGTAGAATAGGTATAAGTAGTAATATATACTAAAAAAACTATTAGAATAACTAACTGAGTTAAGTATGGGACCTTCTAGTAAGTTACTATCTATCTATATGCTTAATGGATAATAAATAAATATAAGTCGCTTATAACTTATAAAAGTAAGCTTTTATACTTACTATATAAAAAAGCAAGCTAGAGCTATTACCCTATCCGTATAGCTTACTAGCTTATACGCTAAGTAAGTAAGGATTGGCACATAGCCCATTCTGCTTACGGTCTTGGCGGGTGAGGAACCTTGGTCTAATGGTGGATCGTAACAGATACGAGCGTATAGGCCGTTTCGTGTTTTCCGAATCCCGACAAAGTTAAATACGAGAATACGAGAATACGAGGGGAAGGCGGCCGCGACAGGAAAACGATACTGCTGCCGCTTTCCACACGACCAGTAGGTTGTCGTCGCAAAACTTGCTAGGCTCGAACCTTTGCGACGTATCAAAGTCTGCATGTGAGGTCTTCGATCTGACATAGATAGTGATGGTCCTTGGTCCAAGGCTGTTTGCGGTCAGAGATCTTGCCTGTTCAAGAACAGTGCCACAGTTCTTCCCCACCTCGATGCAGGAACATGAAGTATGGCTATACTATTCATAGCTTGGGCATCGCCTATGGTCGTCTAGTCACCACACTGATAATTCATGTTCTTTATTGATCTGATGCATGGCGGTATGTGGCGGTGAGGACTGCAAGCAGCACAGAAGTAGGTGTAACACTGAAGTGGGGAGGCATTTGAGTCTGCGGCTGCAGTCGCACAATGAGTAACACCTTCTATGGACATCACACGCAATAGCTAAGGTACGCCTAGGTGCGCCTGGTGAATGGGAGCAAGTCCGAATCGGAAATCAGATGACCACAAAAATTCCAATGCTTTTGTACAACCAAATCATGCCCAATGATGTGTATCGGTGGAACGTGCCAGGTCTATAAGAGGTTTGAGAGGTCGTGTCGTAGAGGTAGTCTATGAAAGAGACGGGGTATCGGAGCGGGCATACCGCTAGGTGAGTTATATCATACTAATAACATTGTAACAGGGCATAATGAGAAAGAGTCAACAACCGTTGAAAGATGGAGCCTATCAAGGCTCAGTCATGAACATCTTGAAAACCGGGTTGTTGGTCTCCTCGACATAGCCATATCCTAGCTCGGTCAGGAAGGAGTTCAGGTTATCCTCCTGACCTTGCGGGCATTGGATGCCGGCCAAGACCTTGCCGATATCGCCGCCATGGTTTCTGTAATGGAACAGCGAGATGTTGAAGCCAGGTTGTAAAGTTGTCAAGAACTTGAAAAGAGCACCCTGACGTTCGGGGAACTCGAAAGCAAAGACACGCTCGTTTGAAGCGCTACTACGGCCACCAACAAGGTAACGGATGTGGGATTTGGCCGTCTCATTCTCCGAAATGTCGACGGCGGTCATGCCTTCGTTGGACAGGCGGTTAATAAGATCGGCAAGATCGTGCTCGCGGGTGTTTGCGCTCAAGCTGATACCAATGAGAACGTTGGCAGCACTTGCTGAAGCGTAACGGTAGCAGAATTCGGTGACAGACATGGGATGCACAGCCTTGACCAAAGCGGCAAAGGCACCAGGTCTCTCGGGAATGGTGACCATGAGCAGAGCCTCTTTCCTCTCACCGATAGCAGCACGCTCGGCGACAAAACGCAGACGATCAAAGTCCATGTTGGCGCCCGAAGCAGTAGCAACTAACTGACGCTTGGGATCAGAGCTGGGATTCTGAGCAACGTACTTCTTCAAACCGGCAAGAGCAAGAGCACCAGCAGGTTCGAGGATGGAGCGAGTATCGTTGAATACATCCTTGATGGCAGCGCACGTCTCGTCTGTAGTGACCATGATGACATCGTCGACGACCTCACTGGCTAGACGGAAAGTCTCCTCTCCGACCGTCTTGACAGCAGCACCGTCGGCAAACAGGCCGACCTCCTTGAGAGTGACACGCTTGCCCAGCTTGAGAGACTGGACCATGGCATTTGCATCGTACGTCTCGACACCGATGATCTTGACATGGGGCGCAATTCGCTTGATGTATACTCCGATACCGGCGATCAGACCACCTCCACCAACACAACAAAAGACGGCCTCGAGCTTGCTCAAGTCTGCCTGGCGTACAATCTCCATACCGATGGTACCCTGGCCAGCGATAACGTAGGGGTCGTCGAAGGGAGGGATGTTGGTAAGGCCGTGCGACTCAGCAAGACGGGCACATTCGGCTTTGGCCTCGTCAAAGTCGTTGCCATGTAGGACGACAGCTCCACCGAGGCGCGAGACGTTTGTGTGCTTGATGGCGGGGGTTCCAAGGGGCATGGTGATGGTTGCAGGCATCTTCAGCTTGCGAGCGGAGTATGCGACGCCCTGGGCGTGGTTGCCAGCTGAGCAAGCCACGACACCCTTCCACTTCTCTTGCGGACTCAGATGAGCCATCTTGTTGTATGCACCGCGCAACTTGAAGCTGAATACAGGTAGGAGGTCTTCGCGCTTGAGGAAGACCTGGCTCTCGAGACGGTTGCTGAGGTTGACAGCATGTGTGANGGGAGTCTGTTCGATGACATCGTAGACGCGCGAGGTGAGGATGAGACGGAGGTAGTCGGGGTAGCCATTGGGCAGGAGGAAGGCCTCGGGGACTCCTGCGTCGATTGCCTTTTGTCGGGNGTCTTGCGACGGTGGGGAGGGATTGGCGGCGTATTCTGTCAGCGAGAGCGAGTTGAGCTTGGGTGTGACGGGCTCTTGAGCATCGTGGCCTGATGTTCCATTTTGGGCCATGTTGACGTGCACCAGCGCTGGGAACTTGGGAAGGAGCGATGGAGACGGAAAAGCAGCAATTGATCGAAACGAAAGGCGCAANNGTGCGTGGGGTGTGACTCTTTGGGAAACGGCGATAGACAGCTGATAGGGCTGAAGGCGGTGTCGGAGCCGTTCCGCACCGCGCTCGGTCCAGCGACATCATCGATTTTACCACCAAGAGCTATACCACAGAACACTTACTTTCCACTCGAACCAGTCATCCGCCCCTACAATCGAGCACTGAGCGATCTATTCAAGTCGACGAACTTCTCACCACACCACTTGAGTCCTGGGAAACCTGGTTGCCCATCATGAACAGTGCGCCGCCACCTTCGTCTTTTGACAACGATGCGTAAGTAGCCATGTCTGACACAGCCATCTGAGCGTGCAGCATCTGACTTGTATCAGCNGACTTTTACGAGGAGAGCCGATGGCAGAAGCTGCGCCGTAGAATCGTCGAAGAACCTCTTATCCCGCTTGGTTGCGGTCTGACCGTCTGGGCCCTGTACGAAGCCACAAAGTCAATGAAGTCTGGAGACCACGCAAAGACAAACCGCATGTTCCGACGTCGTATCTATGCCCAAGGCTTCACTCTGCTCGCCATGGTCGCCGGTTCCGCCTACTGGGAGAAGGATCGCAAGAAGCGCACCGAGTACAATGACCTGCTCGAGGAAAAGAAGAAGAAGGACAAGCGCGATGCTTGGATCAGGGAGCTCGAGGCCAGAGACGACGAAGAGAAGGAAATTGCTGCCATGAAGAAGCGTTTGGCCGAGGCCAGAAGGGCCGAGAGAAAGCGTCTGTCCGAAGGAGACGCCAGAGCGGTGGAGTCCAACATCCAGTCTGATACTACAGGTATCGTCCGTAGCGTCTTGGAGCCTGGCGAGAGCAGATGTGACTCTCCTCTCCTGAATGCTGCCATGAAGCTGTGGCAGTCCAGGTCATGATCATCTTTCTTTCCAAGTTACTCGTACGGCGTCTGGAGCTCAGCGTTTGGCCGGCATTAGGGGTTTGGGACTGTCCACTCTGCAAGATTGTATATATACCACTTTGTATTATTCATCCGCATACTGTAACTCTGTTTGTGCCTGTCGCGTGACTGTATAGGTAGTTTCTGGAGAGCGCCAAGCAAATGCACAAGGCCCCAGTACATCGCAAATGCCCTATCACATTTCCATAAAAGCTGTCACACAAATTGGAACCCACGTTGGACGAGTCGACACTGCCGGTACTATACAGGACTGATGACTCTGCGGTGACTGCCGCTTGTTGGAGCTTGTGACGCCAGAACATCATCGAATCCAAGACAACATCTTTCCCGAACGACTAACATACATCTCTATTCATCTCGGCCCGGCAACAGGCATCAAGCATGATTGATCGTTGGAAGACCATCTGATTCGCTCTCCTGTTTGCGCGCTTCCGACATGACTTCTAACGCCTCGTCGTTGATTTCGCGGCCCTGGGTACTGGTCACCACAGGCTTTATCGCGGCGTACACTTCCTGGGTAATCTGGTCAAACTGGCCTTCACACGATGCACATCCCAACTTGCGACGACGTGGCGCTGTTAGGAGCCGCAATAACACGCGCGCCCATACAAGGATATGGACCTCAGCTTCCTCTGAGCCATCCCTTCCATTCGGCTTGGTCCACGTCGACTTTGAAGGCATCGTTGTTAGATTTCCTAATGGTCCCGAACCACCCACAGTAGTTGAAATTGCAGAAGCTTTAAATCTTCCAGCCCATAATGCCTACGACGTTACCATCAAAATTCAGGAAGCTGCTCTGAAATACATTTTCTCTATCCTCGTCCGGCCCGCTGAGGAACTACCCACCGAGCAATCAGATGCCGCAAGAGATCTCCAGGAGTTGGTGCCTTATCTGCGACGACCAAACATGAACGAGTTGCTTGCTAGAATCCATCTACTCTGTTCTGGACCTTGGAAGTTCCATCAAGCCGCTGCCGCCAGAGCCTTTGCTGAGCATTGCGGTCTTGAACGTATGCCCATCATGTCTGACCATGCAGACCTTGGTTTGACCGAGACGACGGCTGATTCGGACCACGAGGACGACGGAGAACCTGCNTCCGGGGTATTTGACATCCTTCGCGTTAAGATGATTTTTCCAGTGGCTGACTGTAACAGAATCAAGGCTGTTGTGTATCACATAGCAGAAGAGAAAACCATGCGCCAGTTATATGTCCATACTGGTATCAGGTGTGAACAGTGCGGCCAGTATCCTATTCTCGGCGTCCGCTGGCACTGCAACAACTGCCCGGATTTTGATCTATGCTCAGCCTGTGAAGCACAACCGATGCACCCAAGAACTCATACGTTTACAAAGATCAAAATCCCTATCTCTTTCCTAGGTCAGCATCACCAGGTTCAGGATGTTACCTATCCAGGTGACCCAACAGCGCAATGGCCAGCTCTGAGGACTTCGNNCTTAAAAAAGCAACTTGCCACCGATGCGGGCTTTGAAGATTTGGAGATTCAGGTCTTCTATGACCAATTTGCATGCAAAGCTAACTCTGCCTATCCGGATGTATGTTATCATATGCCACTCTATCCAACTCGACCTTGTTGACAATCAGTANNGGACCCCATGCAGATTGGTTATGCTATGGATCGCCATGCTTTCAACAGACTTATGATGTCTCCAACATGGAGACGACCCGTGGAACCCAGCGTTCTCTACGATCGCATGTTCAACTTCTATGATATTGACAACAACGGCCTCATTGGTTTCAGAGAATACGTCTTGGGCATAGCATACCTCCGTCGGCCTAACAAGCAGAGCTCTTTGGAACGCATCTTTCATGGCTACGATTTTGACGGCGACGGATACATCAGTCGTCGAGATTTTATTCGTATGCTCAGCGCGAAGTACGCCATTCAAAAACATCTGGTCGAAGACACGATTCGAGCCGCAGAGTTTGATATGGTTACCTACACTGCCAATGTTGTCCGGTCCAGTCAACCCATCAGCGCAGCTTTCGCGCAAGAAGACGTCCCTGCCGGCCAGACGAGGCTACCCACAATGAAGGTACATGATCGATTTGGCGAGAGCCAGGTGCGGCCAGACGCCGGTCCTTTTGCATCAGCCGTGTTGCCTGACGGCCTAGAACTCCCAGATTCCAGCCTCGTGGGCGCAATAGCTCATCGCTATGGCGTTGACGCTCTGCCAGAGAACTTGGGTCCTGACATATTGTCAGTGGAGCAACTCACAGCATTCACAAGCAGTCTTAATAGGTCTGACAGTGTGGCGATAGATGGTATAGAGGACAGAGAAGAACAAAGGTTCATGGTCGATACCGATTTTCGTCCGGTCCGAAGTCAATTTTCCCCTGATAGGCCCGAACAAAGGTGGCATCAAGATCTCCTGGATGCAACTCGGGGATCCAGTCCAGAAGCGGGACAGAACTCGGCCCAAGAAACGCGGCCAGCCAACGAAGATCTATTATCTCCATTGCCTGCGGATATTCTTGAGAAAGGACGTGCCTATGAAGTCCCTGCAGCCGAGAAAGATTTTGGCACAGAGGTGATCTTCCAGGTTGTCCAAGAGGGTCTGAACGAGCTAATTGACCCAATCTTTGGGAAGAAAGAACGACTGGCAGAACAGGTACGAACCACCAAAGAGGAGCGCCGTCGGTTTCGCAAGGAAATCGATGACTATGTCCGGGATGCGAAGATGCGTCAAGAAGAACTCGCTGCGGGCTCCGAGGTGGATCCTTTGATGGCTATTGCAAATGCCGCCAATGAACTGGATCACAACGATCATGAGGAACGCCACGACTCAGCAAGACTCGGAGACACACTGCTCCAAGTCGAGTCTACCGATGCAAGTATGAGATTGCCAACACCACGTGAGATTGCGATGGACCTTCAAGAACATATTGTCCAGCAAAGTCAAGCACTCGACAACAGCCTCGAGGACCTGGAATCAAACATCCGAGAACAATCTCTCGACGATCTTCTAGCGCAATCAGGGTATATCGTTGATCTCTCGACCGATGCCGAGCCGGCGACTAGAAACCAGGACGACGGCACTAGCTCAGAAACAGACGAGTATCCACCGACCACGCTTGACGGAGACCTGCCAGCGCTAGAAGATATTCCTATCGACGAAAGCAGTGATGCACCCAGCGCAGCATCCCCAACACCCTCTATGAACCGTTCNTCCCCCACCCAGCACCTCCAAGCTCCCTTCTCAACCCCAGACATGGACTCCCCAGCTTCAGTGTTTGCACCTTTCCGCCCTGACCAGACAGAGCAGTCCGACTCGCCTTCGCAAGAGAGATTGAGAACTTTAACTCACCTTGACGAAGAAGAGAAGGATATAATCATGCGTGGTGGTCCAGGAAGACTCAGCCTAGCAGAATTTGAGCGGGTTATTCGCAGTGAACCGCGAGGCTTGCTTCAGGGTGTTGCCGAGGGATGGCTTGAATGGGCAGAATTTTGAGAAGCAGTATTTGTGGACTTCATTCTTTTGATATACAAGAAAAGACTATTCGTTTCTGTTTGCTACCACTACTTTTCTGATGCGTCTGTATTTGTTGATTGAGTTTTCGGTATCCTGGTCAGTGGTCCATCGCGCAAACCATCGCTTTTCCCTTCTCAGGAGTGCTTTGGAGCTCTGCTGGACGATACCAGATCTTCAAACTCCATCATCGTGACTGACCACAAGCCCACGACAACCAGAGCACATACGCACAACACCGCTGAGCAAACCTTTATCACCTTGAGTTTGAGCGCAATCACACCTCTCGCGATCATCTCTTGTACGAGTCCTAGCTCTGGCCACCTCAACCCAACAATCAGCACACAGCCATTGAGGAACCTGCTGTTCGCAAGTACACTGATTGCCGTCTTTATCAGAGCTGATGTCATATGTATTGCACCACCACTTTGCGCAGGAGAGGCAGAGAGGCAAAAGTCCTTTATCTCTGATCATGTGGTTTTATTCGCGCGGGGTGAGGCGGTGGATGGGTGGGTTGTTGTGGCAGGTGGTGCAGATGAAATGACGCGTGGCGTTTGGGTTAACGGCATCTGGGAGGTGTTTCGTGGATTGACATGCTGCGACGAGGGTGGTGTGCGTGAGAGTCTCCGATGGCGGAGTGGTATTGTCGCAATGGCCTTGGAATGGTGTAGGGAGTGGGTAGTGTGGCATATGTGCTGGGATTTTGGTGTCGTGGGCTGCAGGTGAAGGAGAATCGGATATCCAGAGTGGTTTGACTGGCTCCACAGTATGTCCATCAAGTAGATCGTCAAGCATACGGAGACGGTCTTGGAGACCAGAGAGTCGTGGACCTGGTCTCAAGCCTTGCATGCGTTGTTCAACGCTCTCTTTCTCGACCTTCGCCCTGACAAATACCTTTTCTGGGTCTGCTGCACTGACAGGGACCCATGCGAAGGCCCAGGGGTTACCTGCTTCATTTGTGCCTTTTTTTCTGTAGTGTACCTCGAATCCGTCATCCTGGTCTCTCCTTACGTTGTTGACCTCGGCATCTGGACCTGAGCCAGGGCGTGAAGTCGGTGGGTTTGCTTCCGCCCAAATTTTGATCAGCTCAGGGGNGACATCGGCGCCGGGGACCCATCTTTTGGCTTGGGTTAGGTACGTTTCATTACCAGTGTCGTCTGCGTTTCTTCTCAGGAGTATCACCCTGGANNAGTTCATGAGGTTGCGTTCTTCCTCTTGACTGCTTACGGCGTGGTGGCTCTCGGGATCGCTTTGCTCTTCGGTGTAGCTGGGTCTGTCTTTTTCTGGTTTGCCTTGATGGCGACTGCTTCTCCTGGTGCCAGTCATCTCGAGGTGGTCGCGAAACGCAGATTGGTCGTCAGAGTGGTATGATTGTCGGCGTGGGTCATGTATTGAGGAATCAAGAGGGAGAAGATTGAAAAACATAAGGAGGTTGCGTTACAGATAACGAATGAGGTCTGAGACATGTCAGTAAAATGTGTTGTGAAATTCGGAGCACTCCGTCGACAACAAGATCCTTTCGGAAGACATCTGTAATGACGAGCATGTGAATTCTCAAGGTATCAGGGGTGTCTAGATGGCAAAATGACAACGAAGGAGTTCACAAGGCAAAAAGTCCGAGATTTTCAAGAAGGACAAAGAGAAGCTTGTATCGTTGTTCGCGAAATGGGGGCGCGACAAACGAGACACTCTTGCTCCTTCCATCTGAGTTAGTGTTGGTTTGGACCAATCATCTCCAGAACAAATCCTGGACTGTAGTCTGAACCGGAAAGCACGATGGTCCTAGATGCTGAAGTCAAAGTTTCCATCTTGAGATACATGTTCGGATTTATCCAAGAGAAGAACCTCCAGAACACTCAACAGTCTCTCCAGTAATCCATCTAGACTGCTCACTAGCCAAAAAGACCGCCAAACCAGTCAAGTCATCCGTATCCGCCAAACGATGACCAATAGCCTGCATGTTCTTGAACTTCTCGAGCAACTCATCAGAGAAGTGGGCGTTGATGTCGGTAGGGAAGAAGCCAGGGTTGATAGCATTGGCGGTGATGCCGTGAGATTTGCCCAATGAGACGGCCCAGCACTTCATCATGGCATTGACGGCTGCTTTGCTCGCGCTGTAGATGTCCATATTGGGGCTTGCCCAGGTAGCTGCCATTGAGGAAATGACAACGATGCGGCCTCCTCTGGGCATGACGGGAGCGATTGATTTGACCAGCGATGCCGGAGCACGGACATTGATCGCCATTGTTCNTTTCCATTGGAGTCAGCCATACTGCAACTGCCAAGAGTTGGTGATCACTTACCTGTCGAAAAGCTCCGCGTCGAATTCCAGCGTGTGGTTTTCTTTGTAGATGCCGGCATTGGAGACCAGAATATCGATGGTCTCGGTATTGAAGCCTTTCAATGTCTCTCGCAAAACAACTTCTCCACAGTCTGGCTTGACCAAATCTGTCTGGATCAGGATTGCTTTGCGGCCTAGCTGTTCAATCTCCTTCTTGACGGCTTCTGCTGACTGAGTGCTTGAAGGGGATGCATAGACAATAGCGACATGGGCACCCTCCTTGGCGTAGGCTTTGGCGATCGCAGCACCGAGACCGCGCGAGGCACCACTTACAACGGCAATTTTATCTTGGAGAGACATGATGTTCAATGGCAGTTCGGCGGCAAAGTCGATGGTTGATTTGTCGTAGATGAGTTGGAAGTCCAAGAAGTTTGGAGGCTGGAGGCTTTAGAAAAGCGGTGGTCGTTACCTCTTATAATCTACTCCGAGTAGTCCGACTCGTGATCGACCTCGGCGTTAACTCGCGGTGTTTGAGGTATAGCAGCTAGGCCGCTTCCGCGATATAGCTTCATGACTTATTATACAGCCTTATTGTTGTTGTTTGATGTCAAGGTTCAAGTGTTCAGGCGTCCTTGTGCCTTTTTGTCTGTGCGTGTGGCCGACCTCGAGGTGCTCACACCCACATGTATCGCAGCTTGTACTGCAATTCCATCTCCAACGACGATCACACATTGAGCGCGACACGAACGGTTTTGACGTTGATTAAATGTGGGATTAGACTAATAGTTTGCAGAGGTCGGGGAGCTCCTCCGCAAGGATCAAACGCGAGATGGACTTTTCCCGAACATCTGCCGGTCTGTTGTCAAACAATTGTTCATTATCAAATTGACCTGTCTAGCTACGTTGACATCGGAGTTGGTCAGAGGGCAAACAAAGATAGCTATTCGTCGTTGGAGAGTATACGAAGATGTCGCGTGGCTTTGCTTCCAGATCAGCCAGTAGTTCGGCTTCAATCTTGCTCAAGACCTAACGAATTGATAGTGAGTTCGGCATTGATCCACCTCAAATGTTGGCGGTCGTCAATCTTGAAGGCAGCCTGTCCGTGTATGAGATGGCCCTCTTCTACTGAATCTCGTACGTGGTCAGAGCAGTACTTGTGTGTTGTTATTCTGACCATCGTTCCTTCGTATCCTCTTGACCTGACAGGTTCTCTGCACTCGAAATGCCAAAGCGTACCGACAGCGCGACTATATACCCTAATGAGCTCTCTTCCAGACAGAAAACTTGGAGCAAGTCGTCGCCAGACTCGTCGACCCACGATAGTGACGAGAAGCAGCCTCTTTCCAGACGACACACTACCGAGAGCTTCAAGTCCATTCAGGTTCGCAAGATTCTTCAGCATGACGTGTTGTTGTTATGCGGTCCTCCGCACATGTCCGAGCGATTGCGCAGTGAACAATAAGATTCTTCTCCAAAACTCGGCATAAAGCCAAAAGATTGATGAAAAATAAAAAAGAAGACAAGGCCTGTCAGAAGTCCGCCAGCGCCTACCCAGTCGAGCCGACCGAAGCCAGACACTCAAAAGGGTCGAGATCATCACCGCTGAGGCCGGAGCCAAAGCACTTGGTATCACTCTAAGGCACCGGGGATGTATCTCATCCGCCAGGTTGGAGTTCTGTGGCTCTTTTGAAGAGTTCAGATAAGATGACTTAATAAAGAAATGATTCTTCTGCAGCGGTTGTTAGTAAAGATGCTCAGGAATCTCCAAGAGGGCCTCCAAGAGGGCCACCAAGAGGGGTAACACGTACTGAAGTAAAGTCGACTGAGGAAGGAAGGAGGAGGGCGAGGGAGCAGAAAGTTTTATACAACTCGATATGGTCTGTGCATGCGCAACCGCTTACTAAGCGGAGTCTCTGGAAGTTCCCACGAGGCTTGAACAGTGAAGGACATGAGCCTCATTGGTATATGGCAGAGATGATCTAAGCTCGCCCTCCTCCTCCCTCCCTCAGTCGACTTTACTTCAGTACGTGTGACCCTTCTTGGTGGCTCCACCAGAGATTTTCGAGCTCGGTAGGTCTACCGAGCTCGTGGCTGGCGACGTGGGAGCTATAGAGACTCGCAGTACTTTTGCAATACTCAACAGCTCCCATGGAGAACAACTGCTTGACAGAGTTTCATCGAAAGGGACTCTAGGTGAAAAATTCTTGTGTGTTTGCGCAGACATGTGAGTGTTAGTCTCATCACATTGAAGAAGTGCTGTTGAAGACCCTGGATTTTGAGGCTGTAGCATTCCAACGTCTATGCGGAGAGGCCATGCCCAATAACCAACAGCAACGATACATATACATACTGCTCAGAACCCACCCGATGTCCAAGTCGTCAGCTACTCCCTACTTCCAAACCATGTCTCCGGTCCCTCCAGAACCCACACCGTCGCAAGCACCTCCCTCGCTCGAAACGGGTAGGCATGAATCTCCTCCGGTGCCGACCACAGCCTCGGGCTTCCCCGAAATCAAACTACGCCTCGAACTCCGCGATCTCTCTCACCCGTCGACCGACCTCTTCCTGAAGAACTTCAACAGCGCCAAAGACCTTGCCGAGCTGGTCGACACCGTCTTGAAGCGACTTTATACCTACCCCAGCCATGACGACGCACCGACAAGACTACCCATGCCCACGCACCCAAGGATCCCACCTACACGTTCTGTTACCTTGATCTTGCGGGATATGGACGGCGTAGCATACACCACCGGCGCAGACATCGACAACGATCACAAAGAGATCCACTTCTCACTCGGCTACCTCAACCACGTCGCATCACAGAAAGCTGGCTACTCTGCGCGTACCGAGATTCTCGGTGTCGTCTGTCACGAGTTGGTTCACTGCTTTCAGTGGAACGCCAGAGGTACCTGCAATGGAGGTTTCATCGAAGGAATTGCCGATTGGGTTCGTCTGAACGCTGGTTTCATCCCTCCACACTGGAAGAAAGAGGCTGGCAAGAGTTGGGATGCTGGATATCAGAATACTGGTTACTTTCTTGATTGGATTGAGAAGAGTAGAGGTACGGGCAGTGTCTACGTCATGAACCAAGCACTGTTCCACAAGAAATATGACAACGAGACGTACTGGAAAGACCTGTTCGGCCAAAGTGTCGAGAGTCTTTGGAAAGAGTACGCCGAGTCGCTCAAGAAGCCCAAAGACGAGTCTGAGGGCTATGGCGATCCGAACCTCAAGATGCAGATCCGTATCAAGAAAGATGTAGAGGGATAGGAAATACATGAACGACTAATGTACCAGTGCAACTACTCTGCTCAGTCAATCTCATCTACTTCTCCCCTTTACTCCATCTCAAGCTTTGGCATCATTGTCGTCGCCCTTCTTCGCCTTGACACTTCTCCACTCAAAGCCCCAGGATGCCACAAACACAAGACACGACAGCCCTAGGCCCAAGTACCACACTGACCTGAGCGAGTCATTGTACACTCTAAGCGCGCCCGGAAGTTGATCTGCAGACACCATGTCTCGAATAGTACTTGCACCTCCGCCTGAGATAGTACTCGGGTCCAGGTTGGGGAGAATCTTTTTCAGTCCAGAGGCCAGACCGCTCTCGAGCAGTGTCTGCGAGACAGTGATGATTGTGCTGCCCGCGAAGAAACTGATGAACTGCAGAAAAGACAATCCGATAGCCACATCGCTGTCTGCAAGGACTGTCTGAGCTGCAATGTTTGGGCCTTGCAGGCTTGCGCCTAGTCCTACGCCAGTGACGATCTGNNCTTCGGATTAGCTTTCTGTTCTACAAGCCAGCATGAAAAGTCTTACCTGGTATCCGATCCATATGCCTGCGCCAATATCAACGGACCATGTCGTAAGCAGTGCCGACCCCACGATAAGGATGCCACCTCCGACAATCAGAAACGGCGTATAGTATCCGACGACGCTCGCTGCAACACCAGTCGTTATTACGGCAAGCACATTGCTGAGCAGAAGCGGTAGCAACGACAAGCCAGACTTCTGCGGCGACTTCCCTTGGACAACCTGGAACCAGATGGGCAGATAAAAGGCATACAAAACGAGCACGGATCCAATGCCCACATTCGCCAGAGATGCAGAGATGATGCTGCGCTGTCGAAGGATCCTTGGGGGCAGGATAGCTTTGTCTCCGCGCCAGGCTTGATAAGCGATGAATGCGAGGAGGAGGGTGCCGAAGACAACGAACAAGGCTATGACGCGACCACTAGTCCAAGGATACTTTGAGCCACCCCATTCGATAGCGAATAGCAGGCAGATGACCGAAGGTGCTATGAGTAGGAAGCCTACTGGATCCAGCTGATTCAGTTTTCCACGCCAAGTCGGAGCAGCCTTGACAGCAGGCGGACTGTTAGGCGTGAAGAAGAAAAGGCATGCCAACGATACACAACCAATTGGCACGTTGATCCAGAAGCACCAACGCCAGGTAATCGAGGTAAGATAGCCTCCCAGAAGTGGTCCAAGTATGCTTGCAAGCCCAAAGACAGCACCAATGCCACCAGTCCATTGAGGTCGAGCTTGGAGAGACACAAGCATACTGATGAGGATGATTGCTCCAGACCCGATGCCTGCTCCGCCGATACCCTGTATGACTCTTCCGACTATGAGAGCATGGGACGTCGGAGCGGCGGCACAAACTATCGAGCCGATTTCGAAGATGAAGACGAGGATGATCAAGACCCATTTGGATGAATAGTAGGTGTATACAAGTCCGAATGACAGCTGGAGCGCACAGAGTGGGAGGAGGAAGCCTGACTCGTACCAAGCTATATCTCCGAAGCTACCAAACTGGTTTGAGATGGCAGGTACAGCTGTACCGATGATGGTTCTATCCTGTGCAGTGGTCAGTTCTGTGTATCAAAGAAATACCAGCTCATGCAAACGTACCAATGCAACAAGGAAGACTGCCAGATATATAGCCACCATAGCTGGAAGCACGACTTTCTTGGATGGATATGATTTTCCATGATCTTCGTGTTCTTTGTCTGGTGAACCCTGGGTATTCAGGCCATCTTGAGGGCTCTGGTCGACGCTGATTCTCTTCATGATTGAGAGCCCGACGTTTTGAATCAAAGGGTTTGAATGAACATGGTGAAGTCTCTCGGGATATGCTTCCTATATAACTGTCAAGGCAGAGCTAGGCAACGAGAACAATTTAGCAATGCATGGGAGTATTGTTGATGATGAGGTGGAACTTCTCGGGGACAGCTCCCGAAGGATTTCTCGGTCGCTCGTCCGAGCACAGTCGCAATCAAATTGTCGAGCACCTTCGCGTTTCGGTCATCAATTCACTCTTTTAAAACGTCCCCGAGATCTTCGAGATGAGCAGTCAAGCTTGCGAACCATGTTCGAGGCGGAAGGTGCGATGCGACAAACAACATCCATGCTCAAACTGCAAGCGGAGAAAGCAGGACCAATGCACCTACCCCGAGGTACATCCCATTGACCGCATCAAGAGATTAGAATCTCTTGTCAGAAGTCTCGGTGGAGATCCGAACACTGATGAGAGTCGTCCATCAAAACGAGCAAGGACAGGCCTTTCTCCTGTTGAGTCGCAAGATGCCCAAGATGCTCGCGACACCACCGAGGCCGAACGCGGCCAGCCCATCATGCTTGAACAGAACGGGCAATCATATTATGTCGAACTGGAAGCCTGGCACTCCCATATCGGTCAAGAAGACAATCAACAGAACGGACACAATCATGATGTGTTGATGAGTAGACCACTGATCTCCAGAACAAAACCCGATGCGCTGAAAGGTCTCATGCGTACTGATTACGCTATAAATCTCTCATCCCAGCATCCTTCCATCGAGGACGCCAATTTTCTGTGGGATAGATTTGAACGTAATGCAAATCCGTTGATCAAGATCGACTTTGATTGGGCCCTCGAGCAAGTACGGTCCAATGCGACGACCTTTGAGGGTCGAATGCAACTCAAAGATGAGGACCATGCTTTTGTGTTCTGCATCTATTTGATGAGTATTGTCAGTATACCTGAAGAAGAGTGTACAAGAGTCTTGCGTCAACCAAAGCAAGTTCTGCTCTCTCACTACCAGGCGATTTGCGAGCAGGCATTTTCGCGCAGCAATATCTTTTGCATTACAGATATCATCATTATCCGAGCAATACTCCTGTACATCGTAAGTCGTATCCGTCATTCATGCTTACACCTGCTAAACCATTCTTAGGCCGCCTCCATCGAGAGGTTGAGTATTCAGAGTCTCTTCTCGCTCATGGGTCTCACGATACGCAACGCAGAGAAACTGGGTATCCATCGCGATGGCGCTCTACTTGGATTGAGTCCAGTAGAGACTGAGAGCCGTCGTCGACTGTGGTGGCACCTACAGCATGTGGATCTCGCTCTGGGTGTTCGTTGTGGAACCACACCACTCACACTGATGGCCGCATGGGACGCTCAGATTCCACTCAATATCGACGATAGCGATATTCAGCCCGGCATGGCAGAACCCCCACCAGAGCGGAAAGGTCTGACTAGTCTATCATATTGTCTATGGACGTATTGGATCGTGTCACAGCAGCGAGACTTCTTCGAAGAGAACAAAGGTAAACTCGGTATCTCGTGGGCGAGTAACAAGACTTTGTCTCACGCCAAGAAGAATATTCTTCTTGACATCATGGAAGATGGTCTGAACAAGAAGTTTCTTCAGTATTGCGACCCGATAAAGCCGCTCGATATCATGGTACAACTCACCTCTAGGGCATTGATCTGTACCATGCGCATGTTCACCTTACATCCCATGTCCTTCAGTGGCGGCGCAGACATGACCGATGCAGAGCGGCACTCTCAGCTAGTGGATGCAGCGATCAAGTCGTTGGAGTACAACATTGCGCTCAATTCTCGACCGGAGATACAGCGTTTCCACTGGTTCATCAATGGATACTTCCAGTGGCATGCGTGTAAGTCTGTGGTCAACCAATGGAGTAGCCACATTGCTGACAATCTTCANGTCATCAGCGTTATAGTCGAAGTCATGCAGCTCAAAGGCTCGCCCAAAGCTCAACGCATCTGGGATTTGCTATCCGATCTGTACACATACAACAAGAATCTACTCGACCTTTCTGAGGATCGAAGGAAACTTCAAGCAGCCGAGTTGATCACCAGTGCTTGGAAAGCTCATCAGACGGTTGCTCCTTCTGCTCCAATTCCATCGTGTGTCTCTGTACTGGGTTCTCTTCTCCAGGAGAGGCATACAGATGTGGCACAGACACAACCTGAGGTTGTTGGGCAGCCTTTAGAGCCTGTAATGACGGATGAGGATCTTAATGTCATCCTTGGTCTCGAGTTTGAAGATATAGATTGGGGTTTCTGGGCGGGCATGGAATAGATGACCCATAAGCTGGAGGCCTCTCAGAGGATGTGTGATAGAACAAAGAAGTGTTTGGTCAACTTCTATGTTCCAGGCTATCACTCAACACCATCTATCTCCTTGGTCCAATCCGTCGGTAAAAATGTTCTACAATCAGGTTCTCCTGCTCCCCCATGTGCTGAAAACTGTTGTGGGTGATTGTAAAAACGCACGGTATCGTAGAAGCAAGTGATCCCCATAGAGAAGACGCTTTTCTAGAATATGCAAAACCAGCCTTGGAACAGATGATTTTTTTGGTCTGAAGTACGCCATAAACCATGCAGCAAGATCTTGCAGAGATCTGGGAGGGTCGGAGTCAATATCGAACAGGGTAGTACCACCATCAGAATGTCTTGGCACCGTCAGCATCGCTCTTGTTGGACGTCAACTTTGAGGAAGAGCGCTACCACAGTCCAGAGGGCATGACTTGACGCGATCTTCGTAGGACTCCCGGATCTATAGATCCTCACGCCGGCAGATCATAGGGACCCGTCTGCCACCCTGATGCTGCTGCTAACTTCACAGGCATCTTCTTAAGCGCCGGCTGCGAGCTGCAGTCAATCTAACTCTGAAGGTCTCAACTTCCCATGAGTGCCAACAGGGTAGCAACATTCGACCTGTGTGGCGCTTCCAAGTACGCTGTCGCAAATGTAGGCATATCGTGACTCATGATAGAGACTGCGCATTCGAGGCTTGCGGACGAAACATCATCAGAGGGGGTGTCGTATTCTGTCCCGAAGACTTGGAATTCTGTGCCGCCGCCATCACACATCCATGCACGTGGTTATTGAAGCCCATGATGGCTTCTGAGCTCTCTAGTTTCGGAGAAATTGAGCGTCCTTGATCTGACTTGTATAAGGGCTGACCTGGATCTGATCGTGTAGATCCCTCGCGGTCCGCATCACGGATACCTACGTACTACTGATCATTCGTAGCCATGGTTGTCAAAAGACTGCGACCTCGATTACTGATTGCCATGGCCTGCTTTGCTGGCTTCGTACTCTGGAACTCATCCTCGCTAGGCGATCTTCTGCAGATTCGCAGTGTACCACAAATTCCACTAGGAGAACCGGATTTGTCATGCAGAACTCTACCAGGCGCAAATGACACATTGGTGGTCCTTAAGACGGGGTCGACTGAAATTCAAGATCGACTTCCAATCCATTTCTCAACCACATTATGATGCTATCCAAACTACATAATCTTCTCTGACCGCGAAGAAAACTTCCAAGACCAGCACATCTTTGACGCTCTGAGTGGCGTCAGCCCGGAGTTTATCGACCACCACAAGGATTTTGAGCTCTATCGCAACCTCAGACGGGACGGCAGGGCAGTGCTGAAGAGCAGCGACCTGAGTGGCTCAGGTACTGAAGCCACGCAACGGCACGCTAAAGTCGAAAATCCAGGCTGAAAACTTGACAAGTGGAAGTTCTTGCCTATGCTCAACAGGGCATTTCATGAATATCCCGACAAGAAGTGGTATGTCTTCGTGGAAGCTGACAGCTATCTACTCTAGGCATCATTGTTGGAGTACCTAGTAGTGCTGGATTCGTCCAAACCACATTACACTGGCAGCATCATGTTCATTGGCGACACGGTCTTCGCGCACGGTGGCTCTGGCTTCATGGTCTCACAACCAGCGATGCGTATGGTAGTGAACCAGTATACCGCACACAAGGCCGAGATTGAGGCTTACACCGATGGCCACTGGGCCGGCGACTGTGTACTGGGCAAAGTGTTCACAGAAGCCGGTGTGAAGTTCACCGATGCATGGCCCATCATGCAATGAGACTATCCCGGACTCGTTGCTTATGCGCGACACGACGGACGTCCGATAGCAGATCCGAGCAAGCGTGTATGGTGCTATCCTACTGTGTCATATCACCATGTGTCTCCCGAAATGATTGAGGACCTCTGGAAATACGAGCAACAGTGGCTCGCTCACAAACCCCAGGACGTACGCTTCCTCCTTCACAAGGATATCTTCAGTCAGTACATCTTGCCCAGAATGTCTACGGTTCTACTCGACTGGGACAATGAAAGTGACGGCGACGAGGGCAATGTTGGTTCCTTTGAGGAGTGCAGATCAAAGTGTGAAGCAGCATCAGATTGTAAACAGTTTTCATACAGCGAAGATGGTCACTGCAAGACTCGCGTTGATCCTAGATTAGGAAAGGCGACGCCCCATATGAAGTCGGGCTGGTTTCCGGATCGCATAAAGCGTTTCGAACAGGTTATGGCACCATGTGGGGACGAGAGCTGGATGCTGTAGCAATATTCTCCAATTTTATCTATTTGTACACATATACCTGTTTGCTTTATGAACGCGCGAGCATGAGTGTCACCTTTTGTCTTCTTGCAATGATGTGACAGCTATTCCTAGAAAAGGGCAGGCTGTCGACAAATGACATGAATTCGCCGGCAATTCTCTGTCAACGCATTGTCTGCCCTCATCAAGGCTTTTGGCTAAATAACAACCAAGCCTCCAACGTACCTGCATAGTTCTTGGTCGACAGATCGTTGCACGCGAGCCATGTTCTCCACACGACGGCCCGGAACGAGGGGGACCCCGTGGGAAAGCAACCGTCTCCGAAAGCGGGACGAACGATCAAATGACATACCATGTTTCTCGCGGCTAAAATCATATACCCTTTGACTATTGCAGAGCCGCATGATAGAAATGCAACTCGCAGTGGGGAACTGGTCAGGGCAGAGAAGATGATTGCAACAGCCTTGCCCTATGCACGCAAATTCGTGGACTACTTTAGGAGGAAAAAAGTCTAGATGGTGTCGAAGCAACTGCCGCACGTCCGGTCCTGCCGTCTCAAGCGTGGATATAGCAGTCCGTGTGGAGACGGGGTAAATACTTCATCAAGGCTAAAGTGAGACTTGCATGATGCACCGAATATCACGAAAATGACAGATACAGTGGCAATCACCCTTGGGATGAGTACGAGATATATAAAACCACGTCCGGATCTGAGACATCAAGCACCAAGGCCAAGACTTTCATCATGGCATCTGTCAAGCAACTTGCCGTTCTGACGGCAGTCGCTTCCTGCCTTCCTTCTGCTTTCGCAGCAGTGATTGCTCCTCCTTCTTCTGCTCTTTCGAACTCGCAGTCTTCCTTAACATTGCTTTATCAAAACAATCTCAACTTTACCGACGATGTCAATCACATCAGTGCTATTTTGCTAGACCCAGCTACTGTTGCCAATGCAGCAACTGGCTGTGTAGCCCTCAACGAGACACTGTTTTCACAGTCTGCTCTGCAAGCACACTCTTCAGACTTTGTCAACCAGCTCTCTTATGCATTCTACGCTGGTCGCTCGACACAAGATCAAAAGTGGCATATCGAAGGTGGCCAGACCGTGCAAGTCCACAACAATGCCTTGAAGTTCGCCAAAGCTGGTCCTGGCAATGTTCTGCCAGTGCTCTGCACCCAGTCTAGCCAGAGCAACACGCCCAGCAATGCCGTCGCCTCTGCCGCCAATGAGATCAAGATTGCTTCCTCTGGCAACACCTACGTAGGCTTCAGAAACAAGAAGTCTTTCCGCTTCCAGGGTATTCCTTTCGCAGATCCCCCAGCCAGATTCGCCTACTCGACTGTGTACTCCAAGACCGGACAGACAATCGATGCTACCAAGTACGGTCCTGACTGCGCTCAACCGTATGAAAGCTCTAGCAGTGAGAACTGTCTTTTTGTCAACATTCAAACTCCCTACATTCCCAAGGCTGGGTCGAAGAAGAACTTGAGACCTGTGCATTTCTGGATCTACGGTGGTGGTTTCACCGGCGGATCCGGTGCCAGTGCAGGAAGCGATGGTGGACAGCTGGCCTCGAGAGAGGACATAGTTGTGGTAGAAATAAATTATAGATTGACAACTCTCGGCTTCCTTGCTATTCCCGGAACCAACATCACTGGAAACTACGGAATTTCCGACCAGGTCACCGGACTTGATGTGAGTATTTTACTGGTCTTCTCGAGAAAGCAATCGTTAACATCGCGCAGNTGGGTTCTCAAGAACATCGCAAGCTTTGGAGGTGATCCTAACAAGATCGTGATCAACGGTGAATCTGCAGGTGCCGGATCCGTACGCACGCTTCTTGGCTCCCCAAAGGCCATCGGCAAGTTCAGAGGCTCCATCGCTATGTCGAACTTGGGCGGCGGTGTCGACCTTGGCTTGACCGGAAGTGAGTATTCTTGGATCGAACATGATGTCCGTATGTTGACCTGATTTCANGACTACGCCACAACCTACAGTTCTTTCTTGACACCTGCCGAGTCGTACTCTCGCAGTGAGGCCCTGTTCGGCGAGATCGGCTGCAACCAGACCACTCTTGACGCTCGCATCGCATGCTTGAGAGCTACTCCTGCACAGACGATTGTCAACGCCGCCACTGTCGCCAGATACGTGGTCCAAGATGGAGTCTACGTCAACACCGAGACTCTGGATGTGTACAACCGCAACGGCAGCGCTGCAAACGTCAACACAATCTGGGGAACCACCGCCAACGACGGTGCATCTTTCTCGACCTACCCCAAGACCCCTGTGACGAGTGAACTGGCAGGTATCGTTGCTGCTTTGGGCATTTCGACAGCAGAGGCACAGTCAATCATTGACTCTGGACTCTTTCCCTACTACGACACTGGTAATGTGACTTTGGACTCGTTCAACGTGTCGCAGAGAGTGGCCACTGACAACCAATTCCGCTGTATCGATCAAGCCACCGTGTATGCTGGTGTGGAATCCGGAGCTTTCAAGACATCATACTTCTACCAGATGCAGAGGACAGGCTCGGGATATGACCCCAATGGACTGTAGGTTTCCCTGATCTGATTGTTCGACGACATAGACTGACATAGTGGCAGTGGCGGTCCTCCAGTTGAGCCTGGATACCCTTACGGCAACCCCGAGAAGCCATACTTTAAACTGCATGGTTCCGACATGCCCTGGGTTTTCGTAAGTAGTTACGATTAGACCCGTCTAGGTGATGTGCTGACACAGAATCACNNAGGGAAACCTCAGCCCCTGCGCGATGCCAACGACCTCAAGTCTGTGCAGCTTGAGAGTGGTTACTTCGCCTCTTTCGTCCGCTCGTTGGATCCCAANCCCCCAGCCAACTACCTCCAGGTTCGCGGCTACACCAACACCACACAGGGAGTCAAGCAGAGCGGACCTTGGCAGCCTGTTGCCAACGATCAAGGCCCGATGAAGTTACTTGACTTCCCTTCGGTGACTGCCGACTTCCAGGACCTGCCTCAGGTGAGTTTCCATGTGATTGTTTGATCCAAGATCAATCGCTAACTGGTGNNTCAGTGCGCCTTCCTCAAGTACCCCATCAGCTACTACATCAACGGTGGTCTGTAAAATGGGAATGAGTGCAATTCGAGCAAGCGGATGTGCTGTAGTTATGTACATAACAGTGATGTTTCTGCCTGTATGTAGTCAAAGCCAAGATATGATGTCTTGTTTCTCCTCTCGAAGCGGTGCTTTGAACGTGACTCGTGGACCAACCAGGTATGGCGCGTCCCAGCTGGTCGAAGTGTTCGCTTCAGCATGTGCCGATGATGGCTGTGCGACCAAGTCGGCGTGTATGTTAGGGCGTAGAGATCGCGAGTGTCTCATGGGCAGGTGTGTCGCAATTGCTCGTTTCTTGCATGCCTCTGTTCTCAAGCCTTCTTTGTCGACTTTGTCATATCCCTCAATTGGCCCTCCAACCCTTGCAACTCTGCAGTCTTTTCCTCTTTTTCCTCCATGGCTTCCAGTCTCAGCCAGGTATAGTGTAGCACTTGGTATGTAAAAAGAGCCATGAAGAAGACTTTTGCGATCGGGCGTCCGAAAGATTTGTAAAAGGCGCGCTGAAGAGGCCAAACGTTAGTATCGCTGTCCTTGAAGTTGCAAGTACTGTTTGAAGTAGAGGAGAAGGAGAAGGTCGTGGTGCGCAGATTGGGTCGTCATACATGCGGGTTTTCTGGTTCTGCGGGCGTGGGAGGTTGGTAGAGCGGTTGTTGGCGCAGGGGTCTTAGTGTTGAAAAGGCTGCACGCGAAGAAGACCTTGCGCTCTGGAGTCTTGATGTGCGAGCTAGTGTTGACAACATGTTTTTGACAATCGTGTATTTTCTGGATAGGAAGGAAAGCAGCCTTCGCAAGATGCATGTGAGACTTGAACGAATGACCGAGGTGGACGGCCAAGCAATGTGGGGATCCCGCTTTCCGCCTTCCGCTTTCCAGAGTTGACCAAGTGTTCTCGAAGGGGAAGGGGTGGTTTGACTATCTGTTATTTCGCATTGACTCTCTTCTTCTACACTTTTCTATTGACACTTTTGCTTGTACTCACTGTTGCCTTGTTTCTCTGCATATAAAGAGCAATCTCTTCTACTATCCACAACTCTCAAACCTTACACAACAATCACAATGGTAACTTATCTCCAAGACAAGAGACACAAGCACACGAGCTCACCAGAGGAAAACAGGTCCAAACACCCCAACAACGCCGCGCAAACGAAGCCTTTGCGAAGAAACAAGAAACCAAGCGTGGAAAGCCCGAGCCCGTCCTCAAGAAAACAACTCCCCAAAAGAGTCCCGTCAGCAAGTTTTGGCTGTGTACGTTACTACCTCTAATTTACAATCGCTGGAAAGGATTGCAGTGCTGACATAATCGCTACNNAGTTGCCTTGCTATTCGTTGTTTGCGGCGGTCTCGTGTTTGAGCTTTTGCGCATCATTGTTGGGTACTTTTGAGCGAGAGGACTGGATTCCGCGAGATGACCCTTGAGGAGACGAGACAAGAGTGGAAGAGGAAGCATACTGGACACCTGGAGGGAAAGATGAAGCAGCGAAGGTCCGAGGTTTGAAGGCCTCGCAAAAGAGACGGCGGATACACTGCCAGGCTACAACACCCTCGAGTCGACACATTGCATTTCGTATCGGAGTTTACGGCGTTATGTCAGGATGGCCTTCAGATATGAGCAAGAGCTGATCCAGCAGGGATGATTATTCAGAACAATTTTCGTTGAGAATTTGAAGAAGGAACCACAAAAGACGATCCATTTTACAATGGTCGTGCAAACTTTGAAAAGGACAAGACACCATTTCCTGTGATTCTACTACTTCTATTACGCTATCTTCTGCCCTTGCGCCTGACTGTGCCACTGCTTTTGCTCGAGACTGGTACTCTTCTCAATCCAAATCCAGGCTCAACCTCAATCCTCACGCCTTGCCCTGAATCATCACTACTGCTTCCACTGCTTGCTGGTCTTGCTCCTGACGCCATCCGAGCTTCTCTTTCCCTTTGGTCGACTGCTGCTTCAACGTTTGAGAGCGGCGACCCTTGAGGTGCTCGCCTCAGCTTTGCGTAGGAAACATCGGAAGAAGGTATGGGAGCTTGGTATGGCTGTACACCAGGAGAAGAAGATGGTCCAAACATATCGGGGTATCCTGCTCCTGGGGGTGCTCGATTCGAGGAAGACCATGCGTTCTCATCATAAAGAGCTCGACTAGAGCTTGAAGAAGGGGCTCGCAGCTCTAGACCGTAGCCGCGAGCAGAGTATGCCTCGTATGGCGGCGTGACATTGCGATTGCTGTTCGAGGATGGTCTTCTAGACGACACTGGAGAAGGATAGTACTCGGTTGGAGCGTACACTGGAACACCATCTGGACCTCGGATCATGAATGCTGGTGGTGTCGAACCGGACGCACGAGCGACCGGCTGTTGTTCATTCGACGGCTTCCTCGAGTTCTTTGGCGTGCGTGAACGGGATTGCGATGGCGATGTGCCGCCGAATAGACCAATACTTGTCCTCCTTGGCCGAGTGCTGGTCAGGCTCGTGGTACTACTAGACCGACTGCCTTTGGTCTTGTTCTTGCTCGGTGTACCTGGCTCGGAGGTATCCCTGGGCTGAGTACTGCTCCTTTCCAATGCTGCCATCTCTTCAACGCTTAGACTGACGTTTGTTTTACCCTTGACCCGCGCTTTTCTGAGTTTCTCCCTGGCCGATTCGACCAGTACATCCTCTCGTGACGGTCGTGTTCGGGCATTGTCGTGGTAAAAGTCGTCATCCTGCGGCGAATATGGTCTTCTCTCATACGCAATATCGTCCGCTCTTCTCTCTCTCCTGCCAGACCCCAGGTCATATCCAGTGAACAACAGCTCGTCTCCAGTAACTCCTTCCCTCGGCAGCCTGTCGGCAGACCTGGACTTGAAAGCAGCAGGATCGAGATAGACACGTTGATATCCATCGTCGCTCTCGTTGCCCACGTCCAAGAACCTCCTTCGTCGAGACTCGAACTCGTCTTTCCATGCCTCTCCTCCTCCTCCTCCTGCAAGAGCCCCGGATGGTCTTCCCCAATGGGGCATATCGTACGGAGCCCGCGGCCGACCATTTAGACCGCCTCCTCTGAAAAAGCTGACTCGATAGGCTTCTCCATGAATGCTGCATGACCGATGATGCTGACACCAGATGCACCGATGAGCCAGAGAGCGGAGCCGAAGGGGTTGGAGATGATGGCAAGAGGGACGGCGATGACAAGCAAGGCGGTGTAGAGCTGCGAAGTGGTGGCGCGGAAGTTGCCAATCTCGATGTCGCGACCCTCGAGCTTGCCGATACCGTACATGCCACCGACGACAAGAAGAATGTCAAAGGTCAGGAGCCAGTTGGTGAGCAGAGTGTAGATGCTCAGCATGACGAAGAGGACGGCATAGTTGCTGGAGAAGTAGCCAAGGTTGTAGTTAACGCGGTTCTGGACTTCACCGAAGTTCTGAGGCTTGGAGATTTGCTTGAAGTTGAAGAACTCGGAGATGGGCTTCAGGTTGGCGAAGCGCGAGCCGACAGACTGCGAGCGGACACTGTCAAAGCGACCCTGCAGATTGAGACGCGATGTGATGGCATCGATCGGAAGGTTGATGGGCATGTTGACGATGTTGGCGACGTAGAGGAAGTCGGGGAGTTGGTCGAGTCGACGAAGGTGAGGAGTGTTTCAAAGTCGAAGCTAAAAGGGAAGTCAGCCGGAGTCAACAGAATTCTTTGTTTGCATGTGAAGAGCGTCACCGAGACGGGGAGCAGCGGACTCGACGACTTGAGCAGGAAAAGACGCACCTACTAAGAAACGATGGAGCGTGAACGAGCGGCAAGTATGTGAGCGAAGAGCAAAAGTCGAACAAGTAGATAATAAGGGAGTTATGTGATTACGCATGCAACGTGTTTATTTCGACAATTGCGTGGAATCGAGAGTTGAGCCACCCAAACTCAGCCACACTTTAAGCTTCAGAAGCTTCAGGGAGGAAGGAGCGAGGGAGTGGAGCCCTGACGCCGACCAAGATCTTGGGTCCTCGACCAGCAGTAGTAATAACAGCAGAGTGTGAGATACAAGATATAGAGTGATCTCTGGTTGATTATTAGAAGCAGTTACAAGAAGAAAAGAGAAGAGTCGTCGGGCTTACAAGGCTTCTTATCATCTTTGAATAATAAGTAGTCCACAGCGGTGGTGACACGACTTGTCTGGGGAAACTAGTCCAGGCACTTTCTGCCGCTCCTGCAGCTCCATCACATTTCTTTGCAGCCCGACACATCCACATCATCAACGCAAACATGGCCCGCCTCCAGGGTTCTGTCCTGCTTTTGCTCTTGTGCTTGGTCGCACTCGTCTGCGCCTGGTCCCCCGAGGGTGAGCCTGCTGATCCCAGCCACGACTGCAACCATACTGACAGCTGGCANGACCACGAAATTTTCCGTCTCCAGGACGAGGTTGCCCAGCACGAGGGCAGCAATGCTACCTTCTACTCTTTCCTCGGCGTAAAGGATTTTGCCGGCCTTGACGCCATCAACGCTGCCTACAAGAAGAAGGCCCGCGTCTTGCACCCCGACAAGGCCCGTCAACGCTTCATCGCGTCCTACGACTCTGCCCCTCCTGTCAAGAAGACCAAGAAAGGAGACAAGCCCACCGTCCACGTCAAGAAGAACAAGAAGCCTTCGCAAAAGGAGATCAATGCTTTCGGCAAGGAAGCCTCTGCTCGCTTTGCCCGTCTCGGTATAGTGACAAACATCCTCCGTGGCCCTGAGCGCCAGCGCTACGACCACTTCCTCTCCAACGGCTTCCCCAAATGGCGCGGTACTGGCTACTACTACGAGAGATTCCGTCCTGGTCTCGGCTCCGTCTTGATCGGTCTGTTCGTCTTCCTCGGTGGTGGTGTTCACTACATCACTCTTTACATGAACTGGATGAAGCACCGCGACTTTGTCGAACGCTACATTCGTCAAGCCCGTCGTATTGCTTGGGGTGACGAGGTTCGCGGCATTGCTGGTATCGATACCAGNTGCACCCGCCCCTGCTCCTGTCCCTGAGCCCTCATCAGAGGAAGAACCTCAAGCCATGAACTGGAACAGAAAGGAGAAGCGTGCTGCCGAGCGTGAGAGCAGACGTGCTGCNNAAAGAAGCCGAAGCCCGTCAGAGCTGCTATTGCCGAGCAAGCAAAGACTTCCGGCATTAGTACTCCTGTTGAGGCCGAGCTTACCAGTGGCCCCGTTGGTGCAAAGAAGCGCACCATCGCCGAGAACGGCAAGGTCCTCATTGTTGATAGCGTTGGCAATGTCTATCTTGAGGAGCGTACTGCCGAGGGTGAACTTCATGAGTTCCTCTTGGATGTAAGTGTATTTCAATGTAACAAGCTCAACATATGCTAACGTTCATGATAGGTCGACGAGATTCAAAGACCCACCATCAACGACACCTTCTTGGTTCGTCTGCCCATCTACCTCTACAACAAGTCTCTCGGTACTGTTCTCGGGCAAAAGACTTCCGACGCCGAGATGGAGGAACTGCTCGAAGGCACCGAGGAGGCCGAGGGCGTTGACGAAGCAACCGCCACGCTCAAGTCCGCAGCTCAACCCAACGGCAATGCCGAAACTCGCAAGAGAAAGATCAAGCCCAGCAAGTCAAGATCCAGTTAGATGAGGTAGATGATGTAGAAAAAGTGTTTTTGTTCTGTCTACTTCCTGATCATACTTCGAGTGCTGATAACTAGGATGTAAAGGATGCCCCTAGTCAGGCGTGATGAGAACTATCATTTCTTGTATTCATGTGGGTCGGTTTTGTCACTGATCGGATGGCACAGTGATCTTAACTCATGCTTCTTATGTATAGTGTTGCAGGCCACCAGTCCAACCTTGCTCATACCTATGCTACTAAGAGGTCCTAGTAATCCTCGCAAGGGAAAAAAATGACAAAAGGTAGTTCACTCTCTGTTGTCCTCCTAGCACTACACCGGCCAAAGGGGTTTCTCTCTTGTCAAAATTTTGGCACGTCCTTCCCATCTCAAGACTGTTAAGGCGTGGTTATAAGAATACACCACTTTCAAAGGGCACTGATTTTGACACATCGGTTCAGGATAACTCTACCGCTACCTTCTGGTTTGAAAAACGACTGTGGATTTTTGCAGCTTGTACCATCACTTTTTGTCGGCGCAAAAGAGGGTAAATCGTAGGATCGTGCCTGTCTTTGCAAGGCGAGGCCAAATTTCTCGTGAGGAAAGTGCTTCTCACACGCGCCGATGCTTTCTCTTGCCTACCTCCACTTGAAGAGTTCCGGAAACTCTCTTTTCTCTGAAAGCTCCTTCGAGAACTCCTCCCTTTCCACAACCACTGCATCAATAGCAACCAAGTCCGAGGTTAATTTTGGCATCATTCCATCAGTCTTGCTACAGAAGCCAGCTTATCATTCATATCTCAACTCGCCCTCTCCCTCTTCGTCCGCCGCTTATCCAGAAGATCATTGTGCTTTCTCTCGGCTGAAATATATTTCACTGCCTCATCAACAGCAACATCACCAGCAACATGAACCATCGTCCCAACCAACCAGTCTCACGAGCAATCATGCCACCCATTCGCCCAGCCGACTCACGCCCAGATGANCCGCAACAACGAACCCCCTCCTCCCTCACCAACATGTACATCTCCGTCAGCCGCATCAGGCCATATGTTGGCAGCAAATGGAATGCTCATATCTCCGTCCCCATTCTCAGCGATAACATCAACATAAATTGCATTTCGATTACATCACTTGAGTTCGGTGTCGTCGTAGAGTGGCTCGGGGAGGATCTGGGCATTGATTTCACCGTTGGCCCCAACCGGAAGGACGATGTCGGTGATGATTGGTGTCTCGTTTGGCGGTCGCTCGAGTCTGGGAACTTGGGTCGTGTCTACGATGACACATCACTTCAGGCTGCTGTGCAAGACTACAGACGCGCACACAGACATGTCGTGGATCTTTTCGTCATTAAAGGAAAAGGCAAGTGTTTGTTCTACTCAGAAGACGAACATGCTAAGCTAACACATCTGCATAGACGCTATTGAGAAATTCCACTTTTGGTCGCAAAGACTTCCGCAAGGAAAGATTCAACTACTCCGTCGCTCGAGAAACAGTCGTTTTGCAGAATATCAAGAGATCATGAGAGGACTGGGAACCACACACAGAAAGGAAAGCGAGTGTAATTGGCACAAGGCGCCAGAAGAGAGTTCGTTTTTCGATCGTATCGAGCTTGTGAGCCCAATCAGCATTGTCAAATATGCTACATGCATCTTCTCCCTTCCCATGTCATCATAGGAACACCACATTCTCCTGATTTCATTCCTTTTCAAGTACTATTTGCTTCGAGCCTTCCGTTCTTTCGTATACCTACTTGCTCAAGAAAGCTGTGGTCTTAACTTCACCGTAGACCTGCTGATACCCGACATACCCTTGTTCCCGTTGACACTTATCCTGCTTATGAACCAGATGCTCTGCCGAAGGTGGGAGCAGATGACTGTCTGGGTGTATCGTCTTGCTGGTTCAAGTCAGGGCTGAAAATGTTGAAGGGGANCGCAGCCTTTGGCAGAATGAAAGTCTTGGAGGTGATGACCTGAGATTCGGGAAGGACAGTACCATCGGCTGCACAGCGTTAGATCCTTGGTAGTGATGGAGAGATGGAAACAGAACTGTTGACTTACCCTTNTTCTCTGACAACGTACAACTGAATTGTGTGCTTGCCAGCATTTTGATGGTCCAGCACGGCTGCTCTGAGAGAGCCATTGTCGCGAACAACACCCAATTGCTCGATGGTTGACATGATCCAGACGACAGACAGACCTTCCTCCTCGACTTGGCTGCGCAGATTGTCCGAGATCTCACCAAGCCAACGGCTGTACGAGAGTTGACTAATGGAGAAGGAGCTGTTGGACATTGTCGAGTTTCTGAGGTTCTCCAAGGGAAACTGAGTGGTCCACTGCATGTCGTCGCTTGTGAACTTCTGGCGGTTGACAGATACGATCATGTGTTCGAGGTCTGGGCGTGGAGGTGGCATGGTCTGACCAATGTTGGCGTTGGAAGGAAAGATTGGCGAAACCAATTCGCTAGTGCTGGGATCAGAGGCATAGGAAGAAGGTGGGATCTGTTCGGCGCCGGCGTTGCAGCTGGCGGTGGGACCTGATGACATATTGGAGCAGGTTGTAGTGTGCTGACCGACAGTGGCACGAGTAGGATGAGCTGAAGATGCTCTTCTCTGACCACTGCCAGTGTAGGGATTTCCCGTATGGAGCATTTCGACCTGTGCTGGGGTGATGAGAGATGGAAGGAAAGGTTGGTGGGATGAGTGCATGTTTTGTATCCGGACCTGGTGTTGGTATTGAATTACTGGTCTGATTGCTTCGACACGCTGGTGTTTTCTAGTAGGGTCTTGCGTTATCTGGTCGATTAGGGCGATCAGGGGATGTTCAGCATCCCGATGGCTTGATGAGACAGGCATGAGAGCAAACAGATGACTCTTTGTTAGTTCAAACAAAGCTTTCGTTCGCTTGATAAAGTATGATCCTTGATTGAACAAAACTACGACGACTTAATGAGGCGAACCGTGAGAGATCTTGGAAGGAAAGAAACAAGAGCGAAGTGTCGAGAAATGCAATCGCAAACCGGTCAAGTAGAGAACATATATTCAAAGGAAAGAGCAATGGACCAAGCAGTGAAGCTTCCTTGCCCGTCAGCACTGCATATTCATCCAAAATTATGAAACACTGTTCCTGACTCTTCCCAAACTTTTTCCGACAAACCTTCACAAGATCAAACTCACATCGATGGAAGTCAGAGAAGGTGCCCCTAGAGCTCCAGATGGCACCCACGACAGACACATACATCCTGTATTCGACGACATGACCATATCAATCTCTCGTCACGAGAACTACTTCGAGGACACCACATTTACTTATCAATTTCCGCTCTCTGCTCTCAACACACAGGACATCAGAGCTCACACGTTGAACCAATGGCTTGGGCAGTCAGCTTTCGACATGCTGAGCTCGTATATCGAAGGTAGTCTGCACATCCCGCTCACAGACATGTCCATCGTCTGGTGTCTGAGCGAGTCGGGTCAGTTGGCTGTCATCAACGATAGATGTGGACTCATTGCTGCTATTATGAATCACCAGAACGCCGGCAGAAGCACGGTGCATCTTTATGTGGTCAAGAACTATGGTGAGATCGTATGCAGAAGCTCATGAGGATTACCAGAGCAGCTGACATCCGCCAGACATGGAAAACTTGCCCAAGCACTATCCCTCGTGAAGCAACGTCAGTCGAGAACCTACAAAGAACTCCATCCGATCATGATCACGATTCTTGATGCAGACACAAGAGGAACAGTGGAAGAGTGTTGGAGATAGTCAGAGATCAATCAGTGCTGGGAGAGTGCAAAAGACATGAAACAGACATACCTCTTCGATATCAATATCATCATGAGCGAAGGATGCCAGGAAAAACCATTGCTACTTCTGATTTTTATATCAGCTCTGTTGTAGCACTTTTGCATATCCACTCAGCATCAAACTAGGTCAGTCCAGCTTACCCTCGAGATTTGATGATTACGTCTTTTCAGCGGTAACCGGCGTCGGAAACGGCAGGTGTGAAAATGTACAGTGTACAATGCAAATGTCAGCAACACCATTAGAAGGACTCAGCTCAAGTGTTCTCCTTCGGACACGGACCCCTTCTGTGAGACATCTATGCATTCTGATAGGCGCCTTTCCATATATTTGTATGGTTCGGAGCAACTTCAAGCATTTTGTTGGCCATGTCCAAAAGACTCAGACACACGCTCCTGATTGTGGCAAAAGGTACATCTCGAGCATAAGTGTTGACTTTAGTACAGCTTGTGAAAATGCAAGATGTAATACAGAAATACAGGTATGACCATTGAGAGCCTGACGGCAGAAAGTAGAGGGCACATAGCTTTTCGATAGACACATATCCGTGTTGATGTACTGTAGCTTCGTGCATCTTCATAGCTGGTATGAAACTCTCGTCGGTATAGTGGAGGCATGTCGAACAATGTTGTTGCATGCTCATATGTCAAGTGTCGAAAGCAGATATATTTGTAAGCACAGGAATTGGATTTGACTACGCAGAAAAAAGGGGTATCTAACAATGGAAAAACACAGAATCAACCACCGAGGGCACCATCAATCACCTCTTTCTCTCAATGACGCGACTGGAAACGCCAGTTTTTCTGAGGGCACTCCTAAGCCCAAGGACCTCGGCTTTGAGCCTTGCAACTTCATCTTCTAGACTGTGGACTCTCTTTCCCAGCTCCAAGCAGCCTGGACAACTCTTCTCCGCACAAGCGCAATGTTGAGTTTGTGCAGGCAGAGTGTCAGACGGCAGCGATGGCAATGGCGGCAGAGCTTTAGTCCTATTCGTTCCCAGCAACACAGCAGCAGCTTTCTTTGCAGCAGCTTCTCTCGATGTCGGCTTTACAGTAGCATTAGAATGCAAATTTGCCAGCTTTGCACGTTGCAAAGGTTTTGGCACTGTCCTTGGTTTCGGCACTTGATCATTCCAGACTTGCACTTGTCTTTGCGGTGACCTTTTAGGAGATTGACGAGGCGGAGAAGTCGAGTAGACAAAAGAGCCACGCGGAAAAGGCCTTTGAACGTCTGTTGAAGCGGGCACGAATTCGCCGTCGACGTTTGAGATGTGTGACACGGCACTGTACATTGCCTCTTCGGACATCGAAAGCACGGCAGCTTCCTTGCCTGCATTTTGGGGCTGTGGCGACATGGTTGTGACTTCGACAGTTGGCTCAGGTCGCAAAAGCGGGACAAAAGGCGCATGTTGTGGCTTTAAGCTTTCAGCAATCAGTGGAATTTGCGGATGAGTCTTGCCGAGCCTTCTCTGGTGAGCATGGTAATGCGTGCGTTTGTTGTCTTTGCGTTGATTACACTCGTCCTCTGATGATCCAGCCGACATCCAGATATCTCGATCTGATGAATGACTCTCTGACTCAAAGTGGACTCTCGTTGGTTGGATGGCATCACGATCTTGAGGTTGGGGTACTTGCTCTACAGGTTGCAGGCGTCCGGTCGGCAAAGGATCATACTTGGCCATGGGTTGGGTTTCCGTTCGAGGAAAGTTAGATATACCAGTACGGTTCATGTACGGCGCAAAGAGCGCTGCTTTGCCGTTCTTCTTCGCTTGACCCGAGTTCTCAACACCCAGTTTTCGAAGGTCGGCGAGAACTTTTCCATTCCTTCCCGCTCCTGTAGAAGCAACTGGACTGCGGTTCGGGCCTTGCGCAGCTCTTCCATGAGCTTNTTTGCGTGCAGATCTAGGTCCACGTCGAGCAGGCGCAGGGGCAACTCCAAGAGGCGACTTCTGCCTTGATTCGATAGTTGTGTTCAGAGGGTGAATGGACAGTTTTTTAGGCGTCCCAGGTGATCTGATCGTAACTTCAACGTCCCTGTGTGTAGATTCAGGGCTGCTTGTCTTGACAAAAGTCTGACTTGATATGCGTTTGCGACGTAGGTGTGGAGACGATACCGGGCTTTTCTGCTGCTGTCGTGGAGGCGAGACTTNTTTGACTGGTGAGAAAAGGTCCATGTAGGTGGTCTCGAAAATTGGCGAGCGTATAACAGTACCGGCAGCTGATGTGTGTCGTACGGTCGACATGTCTTCGGTTTCGGAGATGTATATAGCAACTGTAGGCACTGGTTGTGCAGGGACAAACACGGCGCCTGGTGGTAGTCTCAGAGCATCAGGCAGAGTTGTTTGATCGTACTTCCTTGCCTTAGGCGTGTTGGGCGGTAGGTCATATCTGGCATCAATCTTCGATGACACCGGCTTGAAAGGACTCGATATGGCGTATGGGCTAGGACCGTCCATCCACTCCACACTGATGATCTTCTCTCCAAGTGCACTCACAAGAATCTGATCGAGACGTAATCCGACCGAGTCAAATAGAAGCACCTGGCCGTCTACTCTTCCCACAGCGACCACAGTGTCGCCTCCAGTCCCGCTACTGGTGACTTCAGTCTTCTGGTTGGATGCTGTCTTTGCTTTCTCCGAAGACAGTTTGATCGCCAGAACCGACAGAGACGTCACAGGTGCTTGCGCATGCCAGGTGCGCAGTATCCTGCCACCAGCCTCGAAATCTACCAGCCTGCACCTTCCATCTGCACCAACACTGATCGCACGAGCACGGAATCCAGGGAGAAACGTTGCGCCCGTGATTGCCACACTCTTGCTTCCGACAGTCGTGCTCAGTGAAGCGTCCGGCGGATCTGACAAGCTTCTGATGTTGGTGATACGGTGCAGGTTTGAAAAGTGCGAGATCTCGCCTGCATGGCCATTGGTAGTTGAGAGAGATTTGCTACCAGTACGTTCACTACTTCTCCCTATTTTGGTCGCATCGTAGGCAGCGACTGTACCGTCTTTGAAGGCGAGTAAGAAGACATTGGGGCGTCCGGGGTGGAAGGAGGCCGTTGCGATGGCGGCACTGCTCGCGGATGGATACAGCTGCATGGGAGCTGTCTTGAGGGTGAGATTCTGCAAATACACCACTGTTGGACTTTCGGAAGCAGACAGCATCAAATGAGAGGTAGGAGAGACGGCAAGAATAGTTGGTGGAGAAGGATGGTTAGACAGCGGGTCGAGTTGGCGTGATTCGTGAATCGAGTAGTGCTGTATAGCTCCAGTCAATGAAGTGCTAAGGAAGAGTGACTTTGCATCCGGCGCATATTCCAAAAGTCGCACGATACCCTNGCTCAATTCTTGGTCAGCCGTGTGACCATCTGAGGATATTGCAAGTCCGCGAACCTCATTGCCGCTCAAACCCCAGCTCTCTTCGCGTCCTCTTTTGCAGTCGTGCAACACCACCACATGTTCGTCCGCTACTGCAAGTACCTGACTTCCATCTTTTGCTTCCCTCGCTGCAAGTATACCCTTCTTACTGCTGCTGAAAAGCTTCTTGACCCCGTCGCGATCCCAAGAAAAAATGCCACCAGAAGTTGTGATGATGAGATGGCTGTTTGTAGGGAATTTAAATGCCGGTTGAGATGCTCCTTTTGGAGCCGTTGCGGCCTGCTTCACTGCTCGAGGCATGACTATACTCCATTTATCACCGCTAGGTATGCTGTTTGATCTCGTCGGTGACTTTTACAAGATTGTTTATGCAAAGTAAACAGAGTGACAGCGCCAAGAGCATGTGAAAATGGTCCGAGCGTGCAGTCAATTCGAAGTCAAACAAGGGCAGACAGATGTATCGCAATAAAAACATATATTGGTTCCTTAGCAAGGCTGTAAGATCTATGATGACCCTGAGCGGCTGGTTACAACGGCCCGAGAGATCAACCAGAAAAAGTCCTTCCAAGACGCAAAAGTATCAATAAGAAATCAAGCAGAATACTCTCCACAACCTCAACCTCCATCTTTCTGAACAATCTGTCAAGTCAACTTCTGCTCAACCTCTCCCACTAGCCTGCTGCGTGTGTGTTCGTACGGGAATGAATTGTCACCCTGCTGTAATCCACATGCTGAGACTTTCGTCGATGATTGGGCTAGTGGCGTTCCGGTGCTGCTCCTGTGTATGGAAACCAAGGCCGATAGGAAACATCAACTCCGTGTTTTTGTCCCGAGTTCCGAAATGGCAATAGGAAATTGTGCTACGCAAGCCTGGAGTATCTTTCGATATCAAGAATATGCTTTGCTTGCTTTGCGATTTCTAAACGGCATAGGCTGAGCCGTTGCAGACTGCCCAGCAACTCCTGTTATTAGACACCCTTTGACAAAAGGATTTTTAGAGTGTAATCGTCTTGTGCGGCTATGCCGCTCGCCCGACTCTTCTTTACGTAGGGACCCAGAGTCTGCGGCCGCCCCTGAACTTGTTGGTGTTGGCAATAGGACGAGTGAAGGAATTGGGGTCGATCGGTCCATTACCGTTGGTGGTGGGAGTAAGATCCAGCTTTGCTGGAGCGACGCCTCTTCCAGCAGTTGCAGGTGCAAAGGGGGTACCACGACCGCGAGAAGCATTGCCTCTGAAGCCACCACCACGAGCATTTCCCCGAGTGGGGGTCTGAGCTCCACGTGAGAAGTGGTTTGGATCCATGGCCTTGTTTCCAGGCTTGGGTGACTTGTGTTGAGCGAGCATAGCTGCAGGTGCCTTAGGCGGACGCTTCAGCAGAACCTCGTCTTCTTCATCTTCGCTGACCGGAGCAGGTCTCTCGTCAACGGGCAAAAGCTCTGGACGCACTTTGTCTTCCTCTTTGACGGCCTTCGCAGGGGTGGTACGAGTATCGGGGAGTGCAAGAACGGCGTTACTCTCAATCTCCTTGCGTTGGACGAGCTGTCTGTTTTTGAACTCACGCTCTTCCCTGGCAACAACGTAACGGATGTCAGCAAGGCTCTTGGTGCGGATACCGAAGCGCTGGGCGAGTTTGGTCTTGGTCGGGTCATCGGTCAAGAAGATGAAAGATTCGAGAGCGGCAACGGGATCCAGCTCTTGGTGAATGCGCCAAAGAATGTAGTTGAACAGAGGGCGCAGGTGCGAAGGAACACCAGAAGTCGAGGAAGAGTCGGACGCGGCCTTCTTGGCTGGGGACTTGGATGCATGAGAGCGGCCACGGCTCTTGGGAGGGCACTCGGCGGGAGGCTCGGCGCTGACGGAGCTGCGAGCGGTATGTACAGAGGATGGGGTTGCTGATCGGGAGCCATCGGTATCGGCGGAGCTCATGGAGAGGGTTGCATCGCGAATGGTAAGTTTGGATTCGGTGCTCTGAGCAAGGTCGTCCTTAAAGCTTTCCACCTCCTCATCTTCAACGTCGCCTTCAGAGAACAAGGTTCTGGGCAAAGCGAACTTCTCGACTTCTGCCCATGTCTCAAATTTTTCGAAGCCGCCTTGGAGCGTGACGAGGTGGGGGTAGGTGCTAGTGGCGTCGTCCAGCCAAACGAGAGCGTCTTCGGCGTCGCTGCTGATGCGACCATTTCCGTCCTTCAGGCGAGTGGTTTGGGCGANGGGCTGCGACGGTCAGTCGTATTCGTGTCTGACTTGTCTGCATAGCGACGTACTGTAGAGGGGCACGAAGAGCCTGATCTGGCCGTTGGCGATCCACTTGCGAATGCCGTCGCGAGTGCTCTTCTTTGCACCTGCGAGCAAAGCAGAGTCGTCGGCGATGCAGTTGAAGACTTTCTTGGTGGGTGGTTCGATGGTACGAGGGGTTGCGACAGGAGTGTCGCCCGAGCGTGGGCGTTGCGGAGTGCGGCGCATGGTGGGTGAAGCCTAGGTGGCGGTGCGGTACTGACTATACTGTGAGCGACTGAGAGCGGAAGACAGCCAGGTGAAGGCAGTATTGTAGGGATAGTGTTGGTGCCAGCAATCATATGCCTTGGAGAGAAAGGCTTACGTGCTGACTTTGGTGTGACTGTGCGACAGGGTGTGTGGCATTCAGAAATCTTGTGACTCTTCCGGCTACACGCGCATGTTCGGTCGTGATACTGGCTTGCTTCAGGAAGTTGTGTTGGCGAGCAGCGTCCTATGAGCAGAGAGTGGAACAACCAAGACGAGCATAATCCGTGTTGTGCTATTACGAGATTGCCGTCATCGAGGGACTGATCTTATGCGAGGTGCGAGTTGCGTGCCAGACTATGCGTAGAGGCGGCGGTTGTATTACTGTGCTTGGCACCAGACCATGGTCAAGAGAGGTGTATCGGGATATCAACTCGATATGGGCAGCTAAGAGCGACTCGAGAGCAGTCCAAGTTGGGGTTGGAGGGCGACGACGACGACAAGGTTGTGTCGAGGAATGCGCGCGCGGCCCACCCACTTGCCGAACGCCGCATCCAACAATGAATCAGATAGCCACTCCAACACACATCCATACGTCTCTGTCACCAGTCGATCAAGATGCCCACCATATTAATATCCGGAGCTGCCTCTGGTCTAGGACGGGCATTCTTGGACGCTTACTCGATTGAAAAAACCAACAATGTCATTGCAATTGACAGAGAGAACATTCACCTGTCCGCATATCATCATCGTGCAGCAACGATAACATCTCACATTGTCGATGTCACTGATGAGAAATCCATCAACGATTTTGCCGCTTCGTTGAATGAAACACCCATTGATCTTTTCATTCACAGCGTGGGTATTCGCGGTTTGGTCCCTGCTGTGGAAAATGCTCAACCAGAATCTGTTGCTGCCGCCGAAACTTTGGATGTCATGGACTTGTCGACCCTCATGCACACCTTCCAAGTAAACTCTGCTGCTACTTTTCTTCTTGTTCGATCTCTTCTTCCGAACCTGAGGCAGGCAAATGCCGCAAAGGTCATCATCATGTCTTCACGAATGGGCAGTGTTGGACACAATACTACAGGCACAGCTTATGCATACCGTGCAAGCAAGGCCGCCCTCAACGCTATCATCAAGAGCTTCAGTATTGATGTGCCTGAGGTTGTATTTGTGCTTTGCCATCCAGGACGCGTAGAGTCTAGACTGGTCAAGTACAAGGAAGAAGGAGCTATAAGTGCACAAGAGAGTGTTGCCGGACTGCTTCCGCTTGTTCAGCGCTGGAACCACAACGACAGCGGTCAATTCTACGATCGATTCGGCGAGCCCATTGTGTGGTAGGCTGTAGCGATTTGTATGTCCAAATCACGGTATGCAACAAAACATGTACAAGTACGTTGGATACGATATGACACCAAGCGCCGTTTACCTTGAGCATTTCCATGAATCGTGAGCCATCTCTTAATCGTCATCTTGCGTAGCCACTGTCTTGGCCGTCTCCACAGGCACGTCTTGCTCGTCCTCCAACACGTCTTTCTTGACAAGGCTCTCCAAAGTAGACAAGCAGTTGGTATAGCCGCCAATCATCGCCTCAATGCGAGCCATGACGTCTTCTTGAGAGTTTTTGCGACGGTGGGATTGTGGTTTCAGCTTGCCACTCTCCATGCCCTGAACGTTGAGCATCAGCCCTGGTATGTCCTTCCTAGACACCTCATCTGCCCACGACGGAGCTTGACCAACAGTTGTCTTGAGGATCTGCCAGTGTGGGCTTAGACTTTGAGCTTCGCTGACTGATTTCCCGTCGGGCGCTATGTCGAGGAGTATCATGCGTTCGCGGTTGTTGGCAGCCTGCTGCTCTGTAGATATGCCAATTTGCTCTTGATCCATTCTGTGCACAATGGTAGATGTCAAGAAGTCGGGGTTGTCATCTGAGAACATGTAGTGTACTGATGGATGGTGGTGTTCGCCCGTGTCGGGGTCTTCGATTAGGGTAAAGAATGGACGAAAGTTGGGAGGTGGCAAGAGTTCGTCAGGTGCGGCACTAGGATATGTGGGATCGTCAAATAGTCCTACGAGACATCAGTCGGGATCAACAGTAGGTGAAGTCTTTCAAACAGGCATACCGTCGGAGGTGGTTACCGCCTGATCCGCGCGAACGGATGAGGCGGCGTCATCACGTTCTTGCTGAGAAGTGGTAGATTCGTTGGTGGTCTGGGCAAAGCTATGAGAATATCGTTTGTTGACAGCCGACATGATCCTCTGCTTGCGATCGACAAGAGCAAGACCACACGGGTTGTTGTGAGTTGTGACTGTGGACCCTGACTAAGCGGTGCTTGGCAAGTTGCATGTGAAAATGCGAGGTCCGTCGAAAGACCACGAAGACACACCAAAAAGTGGTCAGGTACGAATGTGTTCGAAAGTGCAGAGGTCAAGATTGAGAAGTCTGCTCGGCTTGGGCCTCACTCTGGTCGGCAGTCCCTTTGATGCGGAAAACTGGTTTCGTCAGCACCACAGTTGCTCAAGGAGCAACAAAACCACGTCGGATTCGCATACCTTGTCTGCACATGGGGCATCTGCCTTGACTTGACTCCTGATTGATCCAGGTATCGAGACAATGCTTGTTGCCTGTTAATGTGATGTTTCAAGAAGCATGAACAATATTGCGTACCATATGGAACGAATGTGTACACTGTCCCATGACTGATATCCTATTAGCGTAATGCGAAGAGCACGACTGAAATGGGCACATACTGATAGGACAATCGTCTCCTGGAAACTTGCATTTCGGACAAGTACCGTCGAACTGGACACGACAGATGCCGCAGTCATCATCCTCGGGCATGTCCCAGCGCCAGGCAGCGACAGCGTGATATGAGAGGATCTTGACCTTCATCTTTCCGGCAATGTTGCGGTCGACGCAAATGCTTTCTGCAGGCAGGTGTATACACCGGTCCAGGGTCTCTTTGCGAAGTGTGGAGGGTTTGTTTTGTTCGGTGGTCGAAGATGAAGCTCGGACGCGCTTGACGTAGGCGATAAGGTCTTATCGTGAGATGATCGGCAATGTCACATGGGGAAGGCGTGCTCGAAGGCTCCACCTTTTGTGCTCCTCCGAGCATTTCTGTTGCTCTCCCGGCCTGCGACAGACTCGTTGAAGCTATTTTGACGGAGCATAACTGCACAAGGCTTCATCCACGTCTGACCCCAAATCACATCATCACCCACAGTCTCCACAGCTCACACAGCTCGAGTGGGGCAGCATGGCCTCACTGCTTCGTTCGGCTGCGTCCTCAACCTTCTCACCTCTCCGACGCACCCTGAACCCCTCTCACAACATGTCGTCGCAACGAGCAATGTCTCTCTCGTCGTACCTGGTCAAGCCCGCCGAGCTCAACGCTGCTCTGAGAGGCAATGCCCCTACGCGATTGGCTACCTCCCCGAGAGTCATTCCCTTGTGTGCAAGTTGGTTCATGCCCAACGACCCGGAGAAGAGGTCGGGCTATGAAGTCTTCAAGCAGGGCCACATCCCCAGTGCTCGGTATACTACTTTCAATCTCCTTTCCAGACCGTCAAGACTAACCTTCAGCAGCTTCTTCGACCTGGACCTTGTCTCGGACACCAGCTCTCCGTACCCTCACATGCTGCCCAGCCCTCGGGTCTTCACTCAAGCCATGCGCAAGCTAGGCATCCGTCGCGATGATAACATTGTCGTGTACGACAGCGCCGAACTTGGTATCTTCAGTGCACCTCGCGTCGCTTGGACTCTTCGCGTCTTCGGCCATCCGAGCATCCACATTCTGAACAACTACAAGCTCTGGGTTGAAGAGGGCCTTCCTGTTGAGCAGGGTGAACAAAAAGACCTCCCCGAGTCACAGTACCCCGAGCCCGAGATTGATCCTTCCAAGGTCGCTGCTTTTGAGGAAGTCAAGGAGATTGCCAAGGACTACAACAAGGAAGGCAGAGAAGGTGTGCAGATCTTGGATGCCAGATCTTATGGCCGCTGGAGTGGTACCGACCCTGAACCCAGACCTGGACTCTCCTCCGGTCACATTCCTGGCTCCATCAGCGTTGCTCTTCCTGAGCTCCTGGATCCCGAGACCAAGACGCTGCTCTCCAGAGACGAACTACTCGACATTTTCAGAACCAAGGGAGTCGACCCCAACAAGCCCATCATCAGTTCTTGCGGTACAGGGGTCACTGCCAGCGTCATCGATGCTGCTTTGACCGAGGCCGGCTTCCCCGAGACCAACAGAAAGGTATACGATGGCAGTTGGACCGAGTGGGCACAACGAGTCCAGGCTACCGATAACCTTATCCACAAGAGTCAATAAAAAGCATCATGACTAATGACGAGCGATGAACGATACCCAGGATGTAATACAGTAATGGATCATAGGCATCTCTCTTGAAATGTTATCTCATCTCTTTATTCTGTCCTCTTCTCTTCTCGTTCTTTGACTTCAATGCCTTGCCTATCAGCGTGTGGTTGAGAGGCGATTGTGGTCCATGTTTCTAGCGCCGATACGAGTGGCAGTGCAAGTTCGGGCAGCGCAGAAGTTTGGGATGCCCTATGGTTAACAACAAAACTTGTCTTCGCAATTGCCATACTGTAAGTGGTACATAACCTCATGTTTCCATAATGTAGCTATTCAGAAGACGCAACACTCTACAAGTCAAAAGCACGGCCATGAAACAGAAAAGGTTCTCTCCCATAAACATTACTGCCTTTGCGAACGGATTTTGTGATTTCATGACTACAGTTCAACGACCAATAGCACTTGGGAGGGAAAGGTACTTTATTAGGTGTTCTCATCGAGACTACATTGATTAATCTTCTCGCCAAGGATGCAGATCTATAGGCCAGTAATCCGATCATATAAGCAGCTTCGTCTACAATGTTATGGACTATTGCTCGATTTCGTAGGAATCAAATCTGAAGAGTAACCCTGCAAATTTGGAAGATTGGCTTTAACTAAAACCTCTACAATTCACCCGCTTGTTCTCTGAATACTCTTGGGTAGTAGTATGTGTACATTGTAGTGTTGAAACATCCCGTACAATCACCAGGAAAGATCGCCATATATATAAGATCATATAACTACTCGCTATCTACTGTAAATCCTGAGTTCGGCATAGATCTCAATTCGCTAAACCGAGTAGCCATGTATATGTGCAGGGATTCACCAGTATGTGATATGCACAGTGGTCCCCCTTCCTAACGGGCTTCACAGTATTGAGCAGCACTGATATGACCACAACAATCAGTCTTGTTAGTCTTAAGCCACCTCGCTCGGTACCTAATATGGTAGTCTTATATGATATAGGATATTCCGAGTGAAACAGCGCTTGTAAAACAAGGATATACACACCTAAAGACGTTCGAACCATGGTTAAAAGTACAACCCTGTCTCCCATCTTCCATCCAGTTATCTTACTGCAGACACATATTTCATTTGTGCACTCTCTACAGAGCAGCAGATGAAGTCAAGATGATCTTCAAAAATAGAGATGATGTTACTGTTGTGACTAGCAAACAGAGGAAGAAGCCAGAGTTAAGAGAAGAATTCTTGGCCTTGTCATATTTCTAGGACTGTTTGCATATTTCTACTGCGAGCCATACTTTACACGGACATGCTTCTTTGAAACAGAGATGCAATGAGACCACTTGAACAATCGATACAGATCATGATGAGATGGGCAAAAGCATCTGAACAAGCTGTATCTCTTGAGCGACACGCTTTTCCTCGCAATAAGAGTGTTCTGAAGGCATGTACCGACGTTCTTATCTCGGGATTGTTGAGAACCGTGGTAAGAATTATGCCAATCTATGTCATCACATCGAGTCTCGTTGCTGCCATCGCGACTTGTTGGTGCATTGTCTACTGCGAATGTTCTTGACGCTCAGCCAAAGAATATCAGCGGTATGGTTTGCTGGTTCTGGTTTTGTGACACTCAGGGTCAGATGTCTCCAGTGAATAACTCTCTTTTGCATCCGTCGATTGGGTTTCTCTTCCTCATGACTGAAAAGAGCCTCATAGCAAGGGCTATTCACGGCTCAAGGGTCTACGGAAGGTCTTCCCCCAGAACGTTCTCTATGTGTCTTTAGGCTATAGTCCTCGGAGTGATTATCGGCGCAAAGAGTGGATATAGTCAATTGTCACAAGCATTGCGGACCGATGGAAGCGCCACAACTCATGAACGCCGAGCGTGATGGTCTAGATGCACATACCTCTTCAAGCACGAGCGTTCGACACGCTAGATGTTCGTGTGGTTTCGCTGTGCTCTCTCTTGCCCGAACCGGGTAATTGAACCATGATTTGATAGTTGCAGGGCGTATGAGAGGCCGTGTTGTGTATACGTATCGGTCGTTAGGCTACGGTTGGATGTACTGCTTTTAATCTCGAGCATCAGCAAAACCAAAACTTGGAAGTGGGACTTGCGGCAGCTTTCTTTTCGTATTGGAAAGTGCAGGCGGTTCACACATCGACCACTTTAATATGATCAGCTCTGATGGTGAGTACTTGTGGATTCTCGTCTGAGCAATGATAAATTCTATATCGACGATGCGATTAGAGTCTTTCGCTGGAGCGTGTTCCGTCCAGTAAAGCGCACGTCGTAGAAGCCAGCGTGTAGTTAGTATGGGACTATGAGTCCTTTCTCCTGGAGGATGTACGGTTCATGTCAATGCATACGAGCAACATCCATCCGACCGAGCTCTTCTCAGCATCAACCGTCAGATGTTGTCATAATGGTAAAGCCGGCTCGTGTTGCCATCGTGTGGGAGCAGATCTCCCAAAAGTCGCATGATTTTCCAATCCATCAGTCTTATATTGATGTGATCCGCGAGCCGGGTTGTAAATTGCTACATCCGGTGTCTCCAGCAAGAATCAGATAAGAAGAAAGACGTAGTCAATTTAGCGAGTCATTTCGATATCGAGTCACTTGGATATTGGATAGATCGAGCCGGGGATGTGGAGAGCTCGGACTGACTCGCCTCGTTCCGAGACCGATGAACTATTCTTTCTCCTGGACGTGTTGCCAACAATCAAGCTTGGAGTAAATGAACAACGAGTCAATGAGACAACATGATGGAAGGAGGTTTCGTGTCAGTAATTCAAGGACCAATCCTTACGGCTGCAAGAAACGAAGGGAATGTGACAGGTAAACTGCTTTATCTGAAGCTTGGTCAATGGGTTTTTGAAGGTGGACCCTTGTACCGTTGATGAGAATGCGGGATGGAAAGGTGCATACCGTTCGCTTATAGGCGAGTCTTGCACATGCAAGCAAAATCATCGCTTGCGCAAGAGACCTGACATTTCGCTTGCGTAAACCGCTTGATGTAACCGGTTGCGTGCCTTTTCTAAACGGGAGTGGACGATGGCGGCATCAATGATGTGCTCCAGACAGACGTCGTCCATGCTAAGCGAATGCTGCGACTCGATGTTTGATCGTCTTCGTTGCTCGCGTGGGTCGAAGGAAGGGAGTGCCGCGGGAGCTGAACCTATTGCGTTGACACGATCAGACCGGATGACATCCTACAAGCTGTCCCCTGTCGACAAGCGTTGAGGCCAGATATAATGAATGAGTCGCGTGTATAGCAGGCGGGAACATGGACGGGCTGACTCGACGGGCTGAGGATGAGCTGAAGATGACTCGAGATCGAAGAAGGCATGTGAGGCTTTTCCGTGTCCACCCAATCCTGGCTCGAGTGCAAGCATCATCAGAGTCAGCGAAGTCATCCTCGGAGGTTATTCTCGGAGTGCATCTTTCTGCTTGACGCAAGAGTGTTGTAATCGTACCCGACCTGGTCATAGGTCGAAGACTGCATCCATGGCGTTGTGGGCGCTGATGGCGCTGGCGGCTTGAACAATATACGAGGTACGCTTTGCGAAGGGGCCGCTTGCCCATGACAATGCATTTGACTTGCTTGATGAGTAGAGTGAACGGATGGTGCTGACGGCCAGAGAACGGGACCACTCTTTAAATTGGAAGAGTGACATTGTGCAAGGCAAGCACGACTCAGTTTTGCTGGATTCTGGAGGAGCTCTAAGACGATCCATCAAGGAACGGCTCTCCGTAGGATAGATGTCAAAACAAAACATGGAAAGTAGGATGATGGAAAAGATGCTGAGAGAAGAGTATCGACATTACCAATCCCTGCTCTAGTATACATGTTGCTGTTGTACGTGGGTAGGTATGTCAGCTGCCGTACAACATCGTGAAAGCTTTGAGAGCGAACGGCCCGGAGGGCTGCGCTCCAAGCTGAAGCCTCGAGACCAAAGTACCTATACCATATTTTCTGAAGCTCATTAATACCGGGGTTGTGGTCTAGTCGTATGATTTCTCTCTAGCATGCCTTTGCTGTATTCAGTGCTACACACATTCTTAAAAAGTACTAATGGAGTAAAGAGTACTAGTCAATTTCATCTGTTGGTACGGTGCATAAGGCTTTGTGTCACTTACTTATCTCATGGTTACTAAATCATAGCCAACGCCTAGCCGACTTGTTCAAAAATCATGCAAGAAAGTCTATACTATGATTTGCAGAGGTGGGTAGTTTGGAGATGTCAAGCAAAAACAGACGCAAAACGATGGAGCAGCTGGGAATTGAACCCAGGACCGTCTCTATATACAGCAACAAGGCTTGCGAAAGAGAAATCATACGACTAGACCACAACCCCGGTATTAATGAGCTTCAGAAAATATGGTATAGGTACTTTGGTCTCGAGGCTTCAGCTTGAATACTACCAGGCTTCGGTCGGTCGAACCCATTGCATGCGGCGTCATGCGGCGGCGTGAGATAGAGCGCAGTACGACATCTTGGTTGTTGTGATTCGCTGTGTGGCATGTCAAGTGTCGATCGAGATATGGAGAAAAGGAATTTTGGAGCTGGAGCCTGGATGTGAAGCCTCTTTTCTGAAGCCTTGGTGAAACCCGTTTGCTCTCACGACTGTTTGTTGTTGGCAACCTGGAAGCTTTCGTACCGATTTCCTTAGAACAGTCTCTGATATATCATTACGAAACAGAGTCGGAGTGTTTCGACGAACCTTTCACAGAACCGGTGTTGACATGGCCCAATGGTTGCATGCCCGTACTCGGTCTCGAGAACGATTTGAGTGTTGTCGACCAAACCCTGTATCCCGTCGAGCAAATATTGACTCGTCAGCATAAAGATACTGATTGACGTCCAGACTCATGCTGTCACTTAATACCAAGCGCCGAACAGTCACATGTCACAGCGCAGGCGACACACATAATTCTATCACCAAGCAGTCACAATGCAGCTAGATTGCAACCACGAAGAGCTGAACGGGGATGCAATGTGCATATA